CCGCCCGCCGCCGTGCCACTCCAGCTCGTTAGTCATGTAATTTGCTAAACAAACATACATTCTATTATCAACAACTGGTTAAGCAATTATTGAAAATGATTGTAAATATATTAAAAAATCTACAAGTAAAAGCATATTTAGATTAAACAGGAACATATATTATAAAGTTATTTGTAAAACTATAATTGTTTTAGTTGCAATAATATTGTGGATAAATATTTTATAACCTACTGGCTGTCAAGAAAGCAAGACAATTTTTTTTTAACAATGAGGATTTTAAGTGCCAGTGAGAGTGCAAGATGTGAAGCAAGCAATGTTTTTATTTGTACAATGTAATTTAACCTCTTATTGTAAATAGTTTATGTGTTTGTCAACAAATAAAGAAGGTTTTATCAACAGTACTAGTTTAAATTTTTACAATCACTGCCTAAAACATATCAGCCACAAAAAAATCCAGTAATGAAGATATTGTATGATTTATGTTTTGTTACCGATAGCTTCATCCGCGGTGACAAGTAGCGAGGGCCAGTGCGGGGTGAAGCGTGTGGCGGCGGTTGCGAGCGGTGCGTGCAGGCGGGGCGCGGCCGCCCGCAGCGCCGCATGTACGCCTGTGCACGACGCCCCGCCCCACGCGCCCCACGCACCGCCGTCGCCCCTTCCCTCTCCCTCCACCACCCCGCACGCGAACAGATCCACGTCTGCAACACAGTATTACATGTTTATCAGTTTTAACCCTAAAATACACACTATTGTATAAGTACAACATTCAACAAAAATGTAAATTTGGAGGCTAGTTTTTTTGTTATTATTTTTCATTTATTATAATACAGATCTTAAATATGACTTTTACCGAAGGTTTGGAAAAACCACGCATTTAAAGAAAATGCGTAGTTTATAAAAACATGTAAACATGCCATTTAACGTAAGTATTATAATTCGAAAGGAAATACGATTATATTATGAAGATAAGTCTTACCCGAAATGCAAGTGTTGTGCGGCCGGTCGTCCTGGAATGGGTATAATATCGTAGTGTTGTTCTCTACTGATTTCAACAGTGGAGATTCACAACTTAAATCGTAAAAGGCCATCGAGCCATCCGCATACCCGACCAAAATAATCGTATGACCTTTTTGCTGAAAAGAAAAAAATTATAAATTAAAAATCAACTACAGCTACATAAACTTTTTAACAAAAAAAAAAATAACAAAACTGTAATTGAAATATTACATCTATTTTGTTAATAATATGTCCTCTTACCTTAGACCAACTAATAGCAGTCGCTTGATATTTTTTCCTGTCTTCGCGGCTACATAACCTTAGTTCAACTGAAGGTTTAATTCTAATAATTTGGGGGTTTCTGAAACAAATGTAATTCTTAGTAAAACTTAAATACATTATTCACCTCTGCCTGCATTAAACATAACAAAGGAGTAGACAAATGAAAGCAATGCTTACTTTGCCGTATGACTGGGATATGGTACTGACAGTATGTAGACAGAACCATTAGAACAAGCCAGGGCCAGTAGGCCCAGCCTCGCCTCGGCTGTGTGGCTTGCCTCCGCTTCCGCCTCTGAACCCGACCCCGCCTCCGCTTCCGCCTCTGACCCCGCCTCCGCCTCTGCGCTATACGGCGGACAGTCGCGCGCGCCCGACGGACACCACTCCATGGCCCACACAGTGCCGTAATCAAGTGCTAGTCCAAGCACAAACTTAGGTTCGCTAAAGAAAAAAGTAGATTATTAGGTAACTATAATACAATTGGAGAGAGTCATCAAACGTCTTCAATTAAAAGATTTTAAAGTATGTCTTTCAAATATGCCAGAGTTTTTTGTTTCAAATCGGGCTATCGTTTTATTTGACATTTTAGCTGTTGCTCGCGACTTCCTCCGCGTGAAATTACGAAATAACAAAAAGTATAACCTATGTTATTCACTGATAACGTAGCTATTTGAAATCTGCCCAGCAATTTTGAGTTGATTTCAATAAATAAAAAATACAGAAATACAAATGTTTCCACTTTATAATATTAGTATAGATGAGTGTATACCTTTGAAATTCCCCGAAGTCCCAGAGCTGTATGAGTGCAGGATGTTCTCGCAGCTGGTCGGCGGGCAGGCGCGGGGCGTCGGGCGCGCCGGGGCCCGCCACCGCCAGGTAGCTGCGCTCCGCCGCCGCGCCCCGCGCAGCCCCGCCCCGCGCCCCCGCCCACGACACGCACCGTATGCTCCCGCCCACGAACATGCTTATCACTAAAGAGATACATTCTTTATTACAATAATGTAACTTTGAAAATGGCCTAGACTGTTATGATTACTACTATTTTTATAAAATAAATGCAGATGCGTTAATGTTTGTATTTCGTATACCATGAGATTTTTAAATAATTAAACAATACCTGCGTCATACTTGGCTTCGAAACGTTTATACGTCGTCCACTCTTCGTTGCCAATTTTCACTTTACACGATTCTTCTACAGTTGGTAAATATTTCGGTAAATCTTCGGTGTCAACTTCTTCGCATCCTTTTGGTTTCCAATCGGGAAATAATTCATCTAACGTATAGTGCATATTGTGACTGAAAAAATTATAAAATAGCGTTATAATTATCAACGAAAAAAGATCAACTATAGCCCTGAATCGTTTTTTTTATTTTTACTTACAAATCCAAAGCCGCTTGAGCGATGTAATTACTTGAACTTTTTAATTTAAATGGTATATGATGTGATACTTTTGGAGCTGAAACAAAAAGTTTAAATTTATTTTTAGTTACATTTTTCTTTAATATAAATTAAATTAAATTAGTTCAACAACTTACATGTGTCGATACGTTTCTTCTTGTCCATGGCCTGCTCCTCCTCCATAGAGATGTTGGAGTCGACATCGCTGTCGGTGTCGGAGTGCGCGAGCTGCAAGGAGGAGGAGTCGGAGTCGCTGAGTGCGTCGGCCGCGCACACGTGGCCCTCCAACTCCTCCTCCACATCCGTGCCGAAGGTGCACGATCCACATTTATATTTCAACTGAAATTGAGACATTTACCATTAAAAATAAACCTAGGAAAGTATGGATCAAAACTTGTATAACAGAGCAAGGATGTTACGTGTTCGACCATACAAGTTAGATGTATCATGTAAAGGCACCTTCATACACAAATTAAAGATTCCAAAAAAAAATCTATTCATACATTAAAAATGAAATCATTAAACAATAGATAACATTAAATTATTAAAAATATATCAAGATCATATTGTTTTTACTTACCTTACTCTTATAATCTTCAATAACATTTTTCGCTCTGAAAATAAAAAAAAATAGATTTGAAATTAAATATACAAGGTTCATGACCCGATACAGACTATTGAATAAATATTTTTTCTAGTAGTCAAAGTCAACATACAAAGTACAGTAAATAATGTAAGACAATTACTTTTCTGCAGCCCTCCTGCGTCCCGGCGTGCCCCCCTCCTCCGCCTTCGACTGCACCAACTCCAACGCTCGGGACTTCTTCTCTTTTATATATTCCTGCTCTCTGTGAAACGCTAAATGCTGGTTCTTGTATATGCACAAATATTTGCTCTTGCAAATGTCACAGACCGACTTAAAATTCTCTATTTCCTGAAAAATATTTATTTATTACAATTTTTATCCTGGATTTATGCTTTTTCTATATATTTATGAAAATAGTTTACCTCATCAGTTTTGCCGCACGTAATGATGTGAGCGTAGAATCCTGCACACGATACGCGTGTTAATTTGCAGGTTTTACAGATTAAATTCTTTTCGACTTTTTTATACTCTTTTAGATATTTTTCCACGGCATACGGATTTTTCAAATCCTGTAAATGGAATTGTTAAAACACATCGTATTGAACAATATATAGAAAAGTGATTATTTTACTTCTAATTATAGCTAATAATACGAAAATTTTAATAGATAATGATTGCTATACCGTCGCTACAAAAAAAGCCCTTTCAAATATATTTTGGAACAAGAGATTCATAAACAAAACTTACAATCGGGTCTGATCCGACTGTCCACGCGATATTGTAATGATTCTTCATAGCGTGGTTCTTCCACTGTTCCACTGGCATTGATTTTGAACAAACTGCACATTCCACTGTACCACCTGAAACTACATATTATTACTAACTGTTGCCCGCGACTTCATCCACGCAATATTAAGATTAAAAAGTAGCTTATAATATTCCCGTCTATGTCAGCTACCCTTCAGTGAAAGTCCGGTCGAAATCGGCCTTCGTTTCGGAGATTACCCGGAACAAACGCGGCTTGCGGACAGAAAGACAAACAGACAGACAAAATAATTATAAATGCGACTTTCATTATCAACAACGGAAATTGCATCATCTTCCCGAAATCTGAAATTTCGGATATTACAAATAGACACTCCAATTTTATTATATGTATAGATAAAATCATGATCTAATCTTTCATTCAAAAATATATCAGTATCATAATTACCTTGGATGAAATCACTACAATTTCGTACATGATCCAAAAACGATTTCACATATTTACGTTTGGCGTCACAAATGTTGCACGTGAGGCCATTCAGTAGTCTTGACAATTCATACAAATGCGCGTGCACTTGTTCTTGGTTCTCCAAATCCTGTAAAATTATACATTGTATCATTTTAATTGTTTATGATGATCATAAATATTAACGAAATTATAATGCAATTAAAAATAAAACTGATGTCTTTATAACTAAGGTAATCATTATCTTACTAATCTTTCAAATCTTTAAAATTCAGATGGATGGATGTTTGTAAGAGATTGTAGCCTAAACAGCTGACCAGATTTCGATGAAATTTGGTATAAATGTAGAAGATAGTCTGGAAGAACACATAAGAAACTAACTTTTGTTTTTGTTTTAATTTCCTTGCGGACATGTTACGGGAAAAAGCTTGTTTAACGTATGTGAGTGGTGTACTTACTAAAGGCGTCTCCCCATCTGCCCAGGCTAGATAATTGTGTTGCTTTTGTATATGATCGATCCACTCCTTCCTCGCCACCTCGCTGCGACAAACTCCGCATACCGCATTTCCCTCGTACACAAACTCACTAGCCTCAATATTGTTAGCTTCCGAACTCACTTCTTCTCTAGCTTTCGTAGTATAATTTGGGATGAACGATTCATCCGATTCCTTCTTCGTTACAGAATTATTAGCATCCACAGTAAATGGCTAGAATAGTGAAATATACATAAGTTTAAACATGCTCAAGAAAATTAAACTGCTTTGACACATTATAATGTGAATTTAAAATACACTGCCGATCCTATTTATTCGATCCTTAATAAACGATAAAGAGATTGTTTTATGTCTATAATATTTAAAAGTGAATTAATTATGAGAGCCTATCTTACTAATATTATAAATGGGAAAATTTAGATGGATGGAAAATGGTTGGTTGGATGTCTGTGAGAGTTTGTTGCCTAAACGGTTGAACGGATCGTGATGAAATTTCGCATAGACGTAGAGAACAGTCTCGAAGAACATATAGACTACTCATATTTGTTTTTTTTTAATTGCATGCGAACGGAGTCGCGGGTAAAAACTAGTTTCCTCATACGTACAAAGTAAATTAATCTGAGAACTCCTTTTTAAATACTTACGCTGTCGGAGTTTTCGCATTGTTGTACATGCGCTAAATACGATTTGACGTACAAACGCATGAGGCCACATTTATTACAGTAGAGGCCGCCTGCGTATTTGCTGACGGCGTTTAAGTGTGCTTTGATTTGTTTATTATTGTTTAGATCCTGAAAATTACAAAACATTACGGACCTGTCCCACCACTGGCTATTAGCTCAGATAGCTTAAAAATGATTTAAAATTCGATATTTCTATGACATTTTTTACACGTTGTACTGTTATCAGCCAATTTACAATTTGGTAGGACTGACACTAAATATTATTTTCTACTCCACTGCTAGGGTTATGCGATTTATAACAGCCTATAACCGTAATTTGACTCTTAAAGAAAAAAAATCATTATAAAAAGAGATCTGTAGATTCCCTGATTAATAGATTGTACTTACTAGAGGTGCTTTTCCTTTAACATGTGCTATATAATTGTGTTCCGTGCGTATGTGATGTACCCACTGGTTGCCGTACACTTCCCTGCCGCACACGCCGCACACAACAGTGCCAGGGAACTCCACTTGGAACTCTTTGTCCTCTTCCGTGGCTACGCTCGCTACTGAATCTCGTCCACTTTCTATCCTTGTATCCGTAGATACTCTCTGAAAGGAAAAAAATTGATATGACTAATGTAATTTTGATAAAGCTTTTTTTATAGGTAATCTAGTTTGATTGCAATTAAGTCATTTAAATTAGTTGGAAATAAAAGACGTGCGTAAAGACTAAAATGTATAATCCAATTGAACATAAAATGTACACAACTGGTAGAGAATTCTTTGGATAAATTGACATTTTTCTAATAAAACTTTATAACGAACGTTTTACTGTGTTTTAAAACTATTATCCTATACTATGAAAGAGATTCTGAATGTTCACCTCACTAACGCCGCAATTCTTTATGTGTTTCATATAAGATTTGACAAATTTACGTGATTCACCACATTTATTACAAACAAGTTCTCTGACATATCGTCGTACTGTATTTAGATGTGTTCGTATTTCTTCTTCATCATCTAAGATCTGTAATCATATAAAAATCACATTATTTTTTTAAACTATAGAAGGTTTGTTAGAGCTACCCAACACGAGCGATTACCGTCGACGCAATAAAACCGCGCCGCTCGTGTATGCCACACGCTATGTAACCCCATACAAACTTACCAAGGTTGGTTTCCCTTCTATAGTCGCCATATAATCATGTTCTTTATGAATGTGGTTGATCCATTCCTCTCCGCGGACCTCGCGCCCGCAGACGCCGCACCGGACTGTGCCATTCGGTACAAATGATTCCTTTTCAACTTCCATATCTGACCCGCTGTCACTTATCTGTTAATTACATTGATTTAGTGAATACGTTGCTATCGTATTTATCATACTAATGCTGTAAATGCGAAAGTATAGATTGATGGATGGATGTTTGTTAGAGTTTGTGGCCTAAACGGCTGAACGGATCTCAATGAAATATGTCATAGATGTAGATGATAATCTGGAAGAACACATACAAATAAACGCGGTATAAAGTTAAAGTTCGGAATAAACTGAGTATAAGCAAAATTTGTTCTAATATTTTCTTATACTCAGTTTATTCCGAACTTTAACTTTATACCGCGTTTATTTATAAGGCTGTTAGACTACTTGTTTTTTGTTTTTTTTTTTTATTTCACGCGAACGGAGTCGCAGGCTAAGTTAGTTTTTAAATGCACATAGGTTAATATAGACTCACCTCTGCGCCATCGCATTGCTGGACGTGCTTTAGAAAGGCTCTGACGTATTTGTGGCCCTCCCCGCAGTTGCTGCAAATAAGTTGGTCCACATACTTCCTCAACGCACTTAAATGCTTGCGTACTTGTTCTTCATCATTTACATCCTAAAATCATTAATAAAATAACTATTAAAACATATTACTCATAATTTGACATCTATACAAATTTTATAAAGAGGAAAGGTCTGTGTTTTTGTAATTATTGAAATATCTCAAAAACTATCGAGAATTTCAAAATAATCTTTCACTTATAAAAAACTGCATTAAATTTATTTAATTCCACGGGAAGGAGGTCACAAGCATCAGTTAGTTTAAAAAAATCAATGTATTATATGCTAACACGTTCAAACAGAGATTTTTGTACACTTTCAGTTTCTGCGGAACCAGGTATATCACACCTTCTACAGGGTTCTTTCCTCTAGGGTTTTTTTTTATTATAGAAAGGATTATTCAAAAATATGCTGTGAGCTTACATCCTACGCCACAAGGTAGTGTGTTTACGCGTTATTATATTAGTATAGATATATATTGTACGTTATGAAACATTGTACACATACTAAGGGCGGTTTCCCTGCGACCCTCGCCAAGTAGTCGTGTTTGAGTCGTATGTGCAGGATCCACTGGCCGGCGGCCACCTGCTGCCGGCACGCGCCGCACTGCACCGCCGCGCTGTGCACGAACTCGTTCTCTTCCTCCTCCACGTTATCTTGACTACCCGCTACTGATTCCTCCTACAAATATTCAATCATTCACGTTCCACTTTTTTTTAATCTTTGTCGGGAAAAAAGGGGATTTTTGTCTTTGAAGACATGTCAATCCCATTGTGCTACTCTTAGTGTTTAAGAAACGAGCTGGCATAATCGTACAGCCGCTTTCTACATTCCAGTTACACGCAGTAAAGTATATATGTAAAAAGCACTCAATTATAAAAAAAATGTCTTTATAACGCAAGTATGGTAAGTAAACTTTATAAGAACATTGTATGTATTTATTTTTAATCCATGCTTAAAAATACTACTAGGAAATAATGGTTCAAATCTATACCAATATATTAAAGAAGAAAGATTTGTATATATAGATTTAACTCCAAAACTACTAGGGAGACTTTAAAAATTGTTCCAACATTAGAAAGCTACATTATCGCTGAGTTATTTAGGCTATATTTTTAAATTTTACGTGGACTATGTCACGAGTAACTGCTAGTGTTTACTAAAGAGCATTTACTTTCTTGCTTACAATACTTGTATACTAAATCACATTTTACATGATGAACATTATTTAAGTATACCTATTTCCTCATTTAGGTATTGTTTACTAACCTTGGTTTCACCGCATTTGCTAACATGTTGTAAATAAAACTTCGCTAACTTCCGAGGTAGACCACATTTTGCGCAGATCAATGCTCCAGTATGCTTTATAAGTAGTTTTAGGTAAGTGTTGATAAATTCTTTATCTTCAGTGTACTAAAAAAAGACATAATAATTTACATTAAAAAAAAGATTGGACATTCCTTTCAAATAAAGGGTACAGCTAGTTATGTAAATTTGAATTGCTTTGGTAAATAGAGTTACAATAAATATTAAACAATTGATGTATAATGCATTTGTAAAATGATATGTGATCTGTAATATTGTGTTTTTGTATAAATAAATAAATAAATACTGAGAGAAGACATGTAACTCTTTTCATCGCTTGTATCGATTTGTGTAAAGTATACTAACAAGAAGAAGCATTGGTGACTCATTGGTTTAAGTAATTTACTTATAAACTACAGGTCTTGGGTTCGAATCCCGCCATGTACCAACGTGATTTTCGAATTTTCATATGTACATAATTTACCCGACGTTCTTACGGTGAAGGAAAACATCGTGATGTAACCTGCATATATCGGCGAAGAAATTCTAAGATGTGAAGTCAACCAACCCGCACTGGGCCAGCGTGGTTGAATATGACCTAGACACCCTAACTTTGGAGCTCCGAGATCACGGTGGGGACATTAATGAGCTGGTGATGATGATACTAACAAGAGGAGTCCTGCCCTCCACCCAGGCGATGTAGTTGTGTTCCTCCTGTATGTGCTGCAGCCAGCGCGCGCCCGCCACCTCCGCCGCGCACACGCCGCACTTCACGTTGTCGCGATAATTTATACAATCGTCCAAATATGTTGAATTTATATCATTTTCCATCATTTGAGAGACATTCAATTGATCGACCAAGGCAGCCTGGAATACACAAAAAAATATTACTAATATCATAGACATCAATAAGGTAATTTACATTTTTATACAAAATCAAACGTAAAATGTATAACCGACTGCACTGGTGTGTAAAGCCATAGTATAAAACAGTCCTAATTCACATTGCAATAGCGTCGTAAATCATTTGTTACAAAACTGTTAGACGACGATAACGTTAAAAATATGTTAAATGTAACATAGAGCATAAGCCATCAATAGAAGCATAATTTATCCTGACGTAAATAAAGAATAAATAACATCTTATAAAAGTTTAAACAAAAACAGTATAGTATCTTTCAAATTAATGTGAAAAACGAAGTCAAAATGAATTTGTCATTTCAAAAATAATTAAAAAAGTAAACACCAGCTCACCTTACTGCCATCGCACTCCTTGACATGCTGCATGTAGGCTTTACCGTATTTACGATAAAGTCCACATTTGCCACATATCAATACTCCAGCTTTTCTTGCCACATTGTTTAAATACTGCCATGTTTCCTCTTCTAATTCGAAATTCTATAAATAACCACGGATTAAATTAATTACCACATTCTATGGTATTTAATATTTTTATTTATATTAAATTCAATTACTGTTGGTGTAATTTTAACAAAACAAAAAATTCTAAACTCACAAGAGGCTGTTCTCCTTGTAACCAAGCAATATAATTATGTTCTTTCTGTATGTGCTGTAACCACTGCGCTCCGTCCACTTGTTCTCTGCACACCCCGCACTGCACAGTGCCGCTGTACTGCAACCTCACTGTCTCACAAACTGAATTATCTAACTCAGATTCAACATTTATTTTCTTCTGAACAGTACCACCACATTCTTTTATATGCTCCATGAAATGTTTAATGATTTTTCGCTTCATTCCGCATTTAGCACAAGTAAGACGACCGGTGATTGATCTGATTCCTTGTAAGTGTTTCTTTACTGCTTCGTCATCTGATAAATCCTGGAATAAAAAAAACCACCTCAAATTAGTCTGATAACATAATATGATTTAGAACTGCAAATAATACACCTTACAGACAATAATAATCATGTTTAATTGACATTAGCAACTGGCTTGTACTTAAGTGCTGAAAAGCAAATATATATTGTAACTTCAATATTGTTCAGTTACTTACTAGCGGCGGAGCTCCGCGTATTTTAGCTAAATAGTTATGTTCTTTATGTATGTGGTCCAACCATTCAGTGCTCGCTACTTTCTGAGCACAAACCCCGCATTCCACAGAATCGCTGAGGGTTAGTGATGTGTCATCTTCTTGCGTTTGGTTTACATCGTCGTTTGAGTCGACAACCACTGAATCATTATGGCAATCGTTTACCTAAAACATCAATAAAACCATCATCTTCCTTGCTCTTAAATAATTTGTCATATTTCTCGACACCTCCTCAATCTTCAATATATAAGATTAATATAATAATAGCCAAATATATAATACTCACATTATTTCCGTTGCATTTACTAATATGTTTCATGAAACTTTTAGGATACTGACGGACTAAGGTACATTTACCGCACACCAGTCCTCCCATTTTGTCTACAACATTTAGTAAACAAATATAAATTTGGTTTTCATCGTTTAGATCCTGAAATTTTAAGATATAATTACAAAAAAAAAAACATTCACATATGCACTTTAAATTCGATGTCTGTCTATTGATGTCACTTTTTAATTATTTTGTGTCTTTTTATGGTGAAATTATAATGCAATACAATAACACACAATATATTTTTAAATATATTAATTCGAAACATATTTTGTGATTATCATATCTATTTTTATAACATACTTACTAATTCTGGGTCTCCATCCTTCCAAGCTAAATAATTATGTTCTTTGTGTATATGATCATTCCAGTTGTTGGAACTCATTTCCATTTTACAAACTCCGCATTTTACTAGCTCCGATTTCACTTCTTTCTCGTCATCATGTTCGATTTTTATCACATTCTAGAAATTAATAATTATATTTCAATTGTAATGCTAGTATTTGTAAATATACATTTTTTATTTGTATAAAAAGCCATCCAGACAGAGAATAAAAAACTTTAAAAAGATAAATAAATAATAATGACCTCAGTTGCAGCAGGTATCACATCTATACAAGGCTTGATATCAGCGTGCCGCGTGTTGCTGTGCTCTGTCCAATCGACGACAGGAACATTTTCCTCACAAATCTCACATTTAACTGTGCCATCGTTTTCAATTTTTACATCCTCGGCGTTATTGGTATTGGTAAAATTTACATTTGTAAATACTTTCTGAAACATAATCTCATTGTAGTTCCGAAAAATACATTTAAGATCCTAAATCGGCAATTAAAATTAACAATTACCGTTATACATGTTTTCAAATGTGACAAAAATTTTTTCAAATCTCTCACTTTTTGGCCACAAAAAGTACAATACAAGCCACTGTCTTTTTTCAAGGTTTTGGACAATTTTTGTAATAACACTTTATCATCTAGGTTCTGGAAGAATAATAAGAAGAATACCATTACATTGTGACTATTAGGTAGTTATATAATTTAAAATCTAAAGTATTATAAAAAATGTAAACTGAGCAATGAATGGCAAATCCGGTATTGTTATCTTTTATCCAAATGAGTGTGTAGAATGTTTTCTTTTTTTATGATATGCTTCATAATAGAGTTTGACTTACTATTATACTGGAGCCTTTTTTCCAACCTATATGACAATGATTTTCATACAAATGGCTGTTCCAATCGACTTCAGGTACTTCTTTGTCGCAAACCGCGCATTTAACACATGAGCTAATTTTTTTAGCATCTGGCGCATTACGATTATTGGCTTTAGTACTCTGTAGAGATGCCCCTTCGTCTTCGGTTATTGTCCTTTTTCGTTTCTAAAAATTTGAATAAAAAAAATATTATTTTTCACCGTGGCCCGACTTAGACTGATTATATCATTAATCTGAATTAAAAAGTCTTCAAAATAGATGGCTACATAAAAACAATACCTGTGTTATACATGCCTCACCGCCTTCCTCTGTACTACTAATACTTAAGTTTTGAGATATATCGATCCCAGTTACAGGATATTCAGATTTTTGATCTTGAATTATCTGGAAAAAATAATATAATAGTTTTTTTTACATTTAATGCATTTGTATGAATTGCCTTCTAATGATATATCATGTTCTAGCTGGATCTGTGATCATTTAAGTATGAGAACGAATGTAATAAGCTCAACTCACCTTGCTATCGTGGCACTCGTTGATATGCTCCATGTAAGTTTTACCGTTTTTACGATACTGCCCACATTTAACACATATCAATAGTCTAGTTATTTTTTTTACCTTGTTTAAATACTGCCATAAATCCTCTTCCTTTAGGAAATTCTACAAATAAGACGAAACAATTTTGGTTTTACCACTTATATGGTGTCGTTTAATGATAAATAAGTTAATTGAAGGAAAAATTGTATTGTATTCCCACAACTTTTAATTTATAGAAATTTTACTTTACTGGAAAAACAGTGTCCAAAAACCAGAATTCAATTATAACATTTCTAGATTTTTAAGAAACTTAAAAAATTCCAAACTCACAAGAGGCTGTTCTCCTTGTAGCCAAGCAATATAATTATGTTCTTTCTGTATGTGCTGTAACCACTGCGCTCCGTCCACTTGTTCTCTGCACACCCCGCACTGCACAGTGCCGCTGTACTGCAACCTCACTGTCTCACAAACTGAATTATCTAACTCAGATTCAACATTTATTTTCTTCTGAATGGTACCACCACATTCTTTTATATGCTCCATGAAATGTTTAATGATTTTTCGCTTCATTCCGCATTTAGCACAAGTAAGACGACCGGTAATTGATCTGATTCCTTGTAAGTGTTTCTTGACTGCATCATCATCTGATAAATCCTGGAATACAAAATAAAAATCAAATTACTTTGATAACATAATACGATTTGGAACTGGAAATCATACACCTTACAGACAATAACAGTCATATTTAATTGACTTTAGAAACTAGCTTGTACTAAAATGCTAAAATGCACATATATATTGTTACTTCAATATTGTTTAGTTACTTACTAGCGGTGGAGCTCCGCGTATTTTGGCTAAATAATTATGTTCTTTATGTATATGGTCCAACCATTTAGTGCCCTCTACTTTCTGAGAACAAACACCGCATTCCACAGAATCGCTGACGGAATAATTTACCTGAAATACAATAATCATCATTTCCCTGGACTTTTCTCACTCTGTGTTTTGTCCTCAAAAAGGATCATTTCAGACCATTCTTTCGTCATGTTTAACGTCCGTTCTTTTTTAGTGTTAACGCGCAATTGCTTTAGCCTCAAAGTATATACAAAGACTGGAGCAATGCGTGTTAACTTTTAATCACTATTTGAGATAAACGTTTATAATAATCAAATGATTTACACTCACTCTACTCCCGTCGCATTTTTTAATATGTTTTATAAAACTATTAGTATAGTGACAGACCAAATCACATTTACCGCACACCAATCTTCCAATATCGTTTAAGATATTTTGTAAATGAATTTGTATTTTCCACACGTCGTCTAGATTCTGAAATTATTACAAAAAAATATATTTACACATATACCATTGTACATTCAAACAAATATGTCCAGCTGCTATTAGTGGTTTTGTCAGAAATATTTATAAAACCTATTTCTGCATTGAAATGGCACAAAAGGAAGACACTAGGTACACTATCATAAGTTAGTTTAATTTATGGACACGCTCGCGCCTTTTAGGACCGGGCAGATAATTTGTCGTTCTATAGGCTCTTCAAACTAGGTGTCGTTTCTATAAACAACATTTTTAACCGCGAGATGGCGTTGTATCATATTATCGAACTTAATTTGCGCAATTTGTAACACTGTCTAAAATAAAATAATTTTATATTTATTATACAAATAAAAATAAAGATAAGTTTTCTAAAATGATTTTTTCGAAATTTCGAAAATTAATATTATGGTAATATTATAAAAAAAGTGTATGCTAAACAAAAAAATATACTATTTGTTTAAGATTGTTTAACAATATAAAACACATTTTGTGATTATCATATCTATTCTTATTACTTATCTTACTTACTAATTCTGGGTCTCCATCTTTCCAAGCTAAATAATTATGTTCTTTGTGTATATGATCATTCCAGTCGTTAAAACTCATTTCCATTTTACAAACTCCGCATTTTACCAGTTCCGATTTTATTTCAGTGTTTACATTCTCGTTGGAATTTGTATCAATGAATATTTTCTGAAAAATAATAGTGTTTCATTATATGACCGGAAAACATATTTAAAATTCTAATTAGAAAAATAAAATTAATAATCACCGTTATGCATTTTTTTAAATGCGCCAACATTCTGTTCAAGTTTTTCCCTTTTTGACCACAAAAAGTGCAATACAGACTTTTGAGCTTCTCCAAGGTTTCGGACATTTTTTCAATCAATTCATCATCACGTAAATCCTGGAAGAATTATTTATTGTGAACTATTAATATGTACAATATTATGCAATTGTCAAAAGTCAGTTTAAGTATGGCAGTACAGTATAATATTTTTTTATTTGAGTGGTTGATGTTCGTTTTCCATTCTGTTATAATCTAATATTGTTCCAGCAATTTAATAATACTTACTATTATACTGGCACCTTCCTTCCATGCTATATAGCAATGTTCTTCATACAAATGGCCATCCCAATCGACTTCAAGTACTTCTTTGCGGCAAACTGCGCATCTAACATAGATAATTGTTTTACCATCTGATGCATTATGATAATTCTCTTGGATATTGTGCAAAAGTATACCTTCCTCTTCTTGGCTAGATGTCCTTTTTCGTTTCTGAAATAGATTTTTAGTCACATTTTTATTACATACGAGCTGTCGCCCGGAATCTTCGTTAGCTCAAATTTGAACCACCCTTTATGCCATTTTGACATCGCGAAATTTAAAAAGCTCCAATAAAAGTCCCGTCGAAATTGGCCCAACCGTTTCGGAGATTACCCGGAAAAAACGCGGCTTGCGGACAGACAGACAGACAATTTTTTTTTATTACCTTTGTATATGCTTCAGACATCTCACCAACTTCCTCTGCAGTACTAATTCTTCTGTAGTCATTTCTACATGTATCTTTTATAAAAAGCTCTTGTTCTTCTGGATCACTCTAAAAGAAAAAAAAAATTTAGATAAAATTTATGTCCTTTTTATGGAAACTAATTAATTTGTATCACAATTGAGTATGTAGTCACGAAAAAGGTATTACAACTTAAAATGAGTAGACAATTTGTAGGCCCTTTTAAATTTCTTATAATTTAAACTGATAAATTTAAATTTAAATATGTAAATATGTAACTGTACATTAGAATGCAGTATGATGTAAACATGTCTAGGATACCTACTTGTTCTACTAAACTGTCATCATCAAAAGTTTCTTCCTTCACCTCCGAAAAGGAATATAAATCATCACTTTTGATATCATCATACAGGTTTACATATGTTTCACTTGAAAATAGTTTATAATCCTCATTTAATTCAGATTTATCATTATCTGAAATTGATGAATGTTCTGAACAGCAAACATCACTCAAATTGATTTGGACATCATTGCCATAAGTATTATCTTCAGTGAATGCTTCCTGATTGCTAGCACTCTCATCACTGAGAGTATCAAAACTTGAAGGAGTACTTTGTACTGTATATTTGGGTAAAAAATAAAAATGCACACACTCACTATCATCACCATCAAACTGCAATCTACCAAATTCATTACAAGGCGAAACTTGTTTGGTGACACAATTAACATCAATATTATTAAAATCGGTGCATTTATCTACAATTTCATAGGTTTTTGCAGTCTCATTATTAAGTATCACATCACCTGTTTTACTGTTAAATTCATTTCTGGCCTTTCTGTTCACATAGGTTCTTAAAATCATACCGGTTTGTAATTCATCACTATCAATTTTTCCACCGGGTTTCTCAACACCTTGTATACATAATTTAGATTTAGTTGTTAAATGATGTGTTGACAATTTTACTTTTTCTAATAAACTGTCATTCATATAATCATGTCTTTTTATCACACTCTCACGCCAACAACCATCCATAGATTGTTTATCACTAGCGGAAATATTAGACCCAACACAGGTTTCTGAAATATTATTATTTTTTTCTGTGCAAATTTCTTCATCAACTTCCTCTATTTCAATTTCGTATACATCAGTTAATGTGTTATCTGATATTTGTGATACCACACTAGTGGAGGAAGTTGGTATCTCATCACTCATATCAATATCAACTGTTTTATTCTCAGTGCATGTTGCAACATTTGATTCTTCTCTTGTATTATCCACTTCATCAATGACACAATAAACTTCAGTAACATTGTTGGCTTCTGGTTTTTGACCAGTATCTGGTACTGAACCATTGGCAGCATCAATATCAGGATGGTTAAGGTTGTTTGTAGTCAAATCATTCTCTTCTGTATGCATAGAACAAACCAAGTCATCTGTTTTAAACATTTTATCACTATCGAATTGAGGCTCCAATGATGTTGAATGTTCTATTGTGTCACTTGTTACATTATCAGATATTGTATTACTTTTAGAAATCCTATCTAACAATGTATTTATTTTAAATGGAATAAAAGCATCTCTGGGTGCGGGGCAAATTTTTAGTGTCTTAAATTTTTCCTCACTTACATGTTTCACAACTTCATGTGATATTATATTTATTTTGCTTTTCTTAACATTATTAATATTTAAGTGACTAGATTGTGGGTTTAATGAAGTAAATTCAACAATTTCTATACTTTGCTTATTATTACATACATTACTCTTTTTTTGGTTTTTGATATCCAAGTTGCTATCAACACTACATGGTATTTGAATGTCGGTATTTTTATCTACTACTTTTGTATTTTGGTCTAAATTGATGTTTATATTGTTTTGATCAATATTAGATGTTGATACATCTTTATTTGGAACAGTGTATTCTTGTTTCTGTTTTGGAATGTCCTTAGAAGATAAAATCGGAGGGCTTAACTGAACTAAGTTTTCAGATCCAAGTCCAGTAACTTCTTTAGCTATGTCATGTAACTGTTCAGAATTGATTTTCGATTTTTCACCACTTTGTAAGTTGTTGGGCTCAAAATTATCTGGAAACATTTAGAAATTAATTAATTAAGCTTCTAGAGCTCTCAGCAATACATGAAATTCATTCATAAATACTGTATCCATTAACAGAAGATAAATAGGGAAACGAAATCATACAAAAACTAAATAGGCAATTTTATATGAATACAATACTGGAATTGTAAAAGTAAAAAATTATTGTAAAAAGTTTTACCTTTGACTACAGGATAATATGATGTATTTTGAATATTTCCTAAATTAATACCTAACTCTTGTAAAAGATTGGGTGGCAGAACAAGTACTTCTTGTTCATTTTTTTCTAAAGAATTTTCACAGTCTTTTGACTGCTTAAATCTTTTAACTGAGTTGTTATCCATCATCATAAAATTTGTTTTATACATGCACTATGAAGACACATCATAATGTTTATAACAGGACACTGAAAAATTGACAACAATCAAAAAAGCAAAAAAAAAAAAGTATTATCAACCAAGGATTAGAACCAAGACCACTTGAAGCTGTGCAAAATATAAGCATTACAAAACAGAGCCAAATGGTCTTTCACCTAGCAGTTGAATAAACTGTATTATTTGAAAAAAATGAAATGATTTTATAAAAAAAAATAATACAAACTAATAATAACTAAATATGCAAATAAAAGTAAGACACTAAATTTACAAAACCATTCTAATTTTATTTTTGCCAATAAGGAAGATGCAAGGGAAAGTTTGAAAAATAAATACAACACCAATTAAAAAAAAATATGACGACACTGGAATCGAACCATAGTCGATCGAGCTAACACGTGGTAGTACTACTACTATGCAATTATTCCAAAAATGCTAAAATACTACAATCTTGCCATCATTTATGTCGAGTTTAATACTTCAGTTAGTATAATTATTTGCTTACACCGTTAATGCACTTACATGTTGTTGATAATTGTAGATCAATATTTCGTAGTGAAAAACTAAAATTGTTATTATTTATCTCTGTTATGACTTACAGTAACGTATTGGTGATGCTCGTAGAATTGCAAATTACATTTTTTGCGTGATTTTCACAAGTAACAGTTTATTTTTCTTTAAATATATTGAATTATTACAAGATTCATAGGTTAGACTTTTTCACTACTGACATAAGCAAAGAATAAACATTATTTTAAAAAAGTAGAAAGTTCAAAGAGTACATATGATAATGGTACCTTCATAATATATTTTCAATATTTTAACAATAAAATATTCAGCATCAATATGCCTAGATAAAATATCAGTAATTTTACGATCTAAGTTAACTTTATGAATTCATTTGCGGCTATTTTTTTTGGCAGAACGTCTTTTGCAGTTGCTTATTTTCGTTTCAATCACAGGATTTAAAAAAATTACAGTTGACTTTTTATGTCAATGTTTGTATGCTGTCAAGCTATTTGTCAACAATTGTCAAATAAAATGATGAGAAATACTATAACTGTCATAAATATTCAAAATAATTTATCTGCTCTTGTCTTGATCTTTGTACGATTATACATACCTGCAATCTAAATTCTTAAAAATGTTTAACCCTTAAATATTATATGAGATGTTCCGTTGAAAATATCTTTTGTTTCTCAATAAAGTACCACAAAAGAAACGTTCCAGCGTTTATAACCTGAATGTATCTAACCTCTACAAGTTATAGGTACTCAGTTGGACGATAAAATATACGGATTAAACATGGTATTCTACTTTACTAGCAGCGTAGTTGCTCCACCAGTAACATTGTTCATGGGTGCTGATAAACATGAAAGTAAGTGTTTCTTACAGGTATAATATCCCTCATTCCTATTTACCAATGAGAAAGAAATCTAAGTACAATTTGTTACCATTGTGTATCTTATGTCTTGAATATTCCTTGGAAACTTCCAAGGAAGTTACTTAGTAACTACTTTAGTAACTACCTTAGTAACTACTAAATGTAATACATTTTTCATTAAATTAAGTGTAACACTAATTTATTCATAGCACCCCATTTCCCCAAGTTGAGAAAGCATTTTCGATTACATATAAATAAAAAAAATTTCAGATGAAGACTTAATTAAGTGGGGTTGGCCTGAAGATGTTTGGTTTCATGTGGATAAAGTATCATCAGCCCATGTTTATCTGCGTCTAGCACCCGTAAGTTAATTATGCATACATTTCATGTTTCTATTTGATAAAAATAAATTATTCCTGTTCTACATATAGAAGTTGATTCTAGCAAAATGTCTCTATTATCAGTTTAAATACAAAGTCTCTTCCTGTCAAAGGGTTAGCTGTACAACATTTTCTCCTTGTATTTCTTACTTTATAGCCTAGCTACCCTATGCTTAGTGTAGACAAGCCCTTAGTGAGGACATTTAGTTAGTGATGGTGATAATGTCTTACTTTGAGAATACATGATTATTATTTAAAGATTAAATAAAACTCATAAATTTTTCAGGATCAAACAATAGATGACATCCCAAATTCTGTTTTGGATGATGCATGTCAATTAGTAAAGGCCAATTCTATAATGGGGAACAAAATGAATGACATAGATATAGTGTATACTATGTGGTCAAACCTTAAAAAAACACCAAGTATGGATGTAAGTGAAGTAAAATAATAATAAAATTCTATAACACAGAAAAATGAATGACAATTTACTAGTCACTATTGTAACCTTTATGAGAAATAAAAATATCTTAATTTTACAGGTGGGTCAAGTAGCTTTTCATAGAGATAAAGATGTAAGGAAAGTGAAAGTTGCTAAAAGATCTAATGAAATTATAAATAGATTACAAAAGACGAAGAGGGAAGCATTTCCCGATTTAAGACAGGAAAGAGAAAATAGAGACAAGTCAGAGAGAGAGGACAAAAAGAAATTGCTAAGGGAAAAGAAGGAAAAAGAAAAAGAAGAGGAAAAACGCAAAAAGGAAGAGCAAGAATTAAGAAGTTATGCAACCCTAATGAGAACAGAGAATATGACTACTAACTATGATGGTAATGACTCGGACGAGTTTATGTAAAGTTGTTTAATATGTATTAAAAAATCTTTAAATTACACTTGATTGTGTCATAATGCTCTCATAAGAAAAGTTCTGTTAATTTATTGGTTTAGTTAGGCATTCTCTATTAATCACATGAAAGGTGTGAATTCAAAAAAAAAAATGTTAAATATAACTAGTGGGGGTTAAAATATCATATTTATTTACTTTCTAATTCAGGTATTTGATATTAATTGGTACTCAAAATACATAATTATAAAGATAGAGTGGAGGGAGTTAAAACCTCACCGCAGATCACCAGGGAATTACGAAGTAGCTAATAACTACACATGATTAATGGACAACTAATTTGTCAGCATATATCATACAAATATCTTACCCCTTGCTAATATTCAAATTGCAAAAATCAAGATGGATGGATAGATGTTTGTTAGAGTGTATAGCCTAAACTGCTGAATATATTTTGATGAAAATTGGCATTAATATAGAGGATAGTCTGGAAGAATACATAGGCTACTTTTTTTTACTCCATATGGGTGAAAGCTAGTATTTAATAAAAAAATATTTAGTCCAATAAATTTATTCCAACAGATTGTAATGAATTCATAATCCAATTTGGGAAATTTAAATCAGGGTAAACCTCCTTCATAAATGCTTTCACAAACTGAATAAATGTTCCATTAATAATATTTTCTCGCATTGCTCTCATCAACCGCATCTGAAATATATTTCACATTTAAGTTACATCACATATATTACTTTTAATAGGGAGATATTCAATTACTTTACTGGAGCAATAGTAACTATAAACAATAAAATGTAGTAAAGAATCAAATTACCTGATATGCAATATTATGTACAGAAATCAAATGGCAAGCCACTGTTTCAACTGACACTATACAATGTAAGTATGCTCTTGTATAATTCTTACATGTTGAACAAGTACAATCTTTATCAATTGGATTGAGGTCAGTTAAATACTTCTTATGTCTCAAATTAAGCTGGCCCTTATTGACTAGAGCACAACCAAATCTCTGTAATATAAAAAATAAAATAAAAAACAACAATTAAAGTAGCTCAAATTAATTTCATAAGTGAATACTTACAGCAGTTCTTGTTGGAAAAACACAGTCAAACATATCAACACCCAGAGCAACACATACAACCAAGTCAACAGCCAAGCCTACACCCATTAAGTAACGGGGTCTATTTCTATCCAATACCTCAGTACCCAAACTGACCATTGGCCAGAAATCATCTTTTGCTTCACCGCCACTGTAAAAAAATGAAGGCATTAAAAGACAATTTTAATATATAATATATGACACATTTTTTATTATGTCTTGTTTAAGGGGGGTCTCATTTCCCTTTATAAATATATGCTTACAGATTTTCAGTGCTATATAATTAATGGCATTGAAATGTTTTCAGCAATCCTAGATTGACTTGGATTTTAAATTTTTTTTATAATAAAATAAATTCACACCTAAGTCCTCCTATTGCAAATCCATTAACATTTTTGGTCATGTGGTCTTGTGCACTTTTACGCCTCAACTCGCTATTTAACAAACCTTGGACAATTGGAAATATACTTTGTTCATCCGGTCTTTTGTGTGCTTTTAGACATCTATCAAGCCAACGACTTGTTCTCTCTGTAGCCTCCTTAATACGGTCATAATCTTGAAATGTTGTTTGAACCACATCATCTAGTTGCATTATAATATCTGCACCTATTGACGTGAAAAAAAGCTTTTAAAAATTTTGTTTATCAATATTTAAGGTACGCAATTGTACAAAGTATAAGTTATTACCTATACAATTTTGAATCTCAATTGACTTTTCTGGCGTCAACATTATTTCCGATCCATCATATGGAGATTTGAACTTAACACCCTCTTCTTTAATTTCTGCTAGTTTTAGTAATGAAACCATTTGAAAACCTCCTGAATCAGTTAAAAGTGCCTTATTCCAACCCATGAATTTGTGAAGGCCTCCAGCTTTTTCAAGAACCTGGGTGCCAGGACGATTACCTAAATGATATGTGTTACCTAAAATGATTTCGCAATCTAAAGCCAACAACTGATCAGGCAATAAACCCTTCATTGTGCCCTGAAACAGTTTGATAGTTAAAATTAATGTATATAATTCTTTACTAACATATTGAAGAAATATACTTTAAGGTAATTATTATAGACCTGGGTTCCAACTGGCATAAATACAGGTGTTCGGACATCACAGTGCGGTAATTTCATTAAACCGGCGCGAGCTTTAGTTATTCCACATTCAGCTTGCACAGTAAAAGTTAAAGCCATTTTGTATTGATATTAATGCAAACAATTCATTTAGATTATATCTAAGATAGATATTTTTTAATTATCCCTTGATGAACAATAATAAACATAAAATATAACCTATTAAAGAAAAGTGACAAGACCAAAGTGTTTACGAAATCCATAGACCACAAGCACAGAATACATTTTATTTTCTCTTCCAGTGAAATTGGCCATTAGTCATAAGCTGATTAGTAAACTAGTGTGTTATGCCTGCTTTACATTATTACAGTACGTAACGACTGGCTCTGGAATTGATGTATTGATGTGTCGATAGTATTTACTTTATGAGTCCTGTCCAGTGTAAGTTGTCTAATCGTCAAAACTGCATCGATTTTTCTTGAAAGCGGTTGAAACTCCTTTTCAAATTTCACCAATTTCTAATCGTATAATCCCGTATCCGTATTATCCCTTGGTGTACTGCCACCAGTAAGAATTGTGCCAGAGTTCGATCGCCACTGGATTTCTGTACTGACACAATGTGAACCAGGCTTTATTTCACTATTTAGCATAGATAAAATAACCAAAGACCGATAGAGTAACTGCGACTTCATGACATATGACAGTTATCATTTACAAATGTCAATGTCAAACTATAAATTATAATAAAATTGTTGTTGATTTTGGGGCTGAAACAAAGAAAACGAAATATTTAATATTTTAAACGTGATACCAGAATCAAGAAGAAGACTGTAAATTTCCTATTTACTTTTAATTTAATTAACGTTTAAATTAATATAATAAAATAATATTTTACAGCCTGAAGGAACAAAAATGGGCAGTCCAGAACGAGAATTATGCCCTCCACCTTCGGAGGAAGATGAGCTTACGCTTCCTAGAGCAAGCATTAATAAAATGATAAAGGAATTAGTTCCTTCCGTTCGTATTGCCTTCGAGTCGAGGGAGTTGATTTTGAACTGCTGTACAGAATTTATACATCTTATTAGTTCAGAAGCGAATGAAGTGTGTAATCAAAGTAATAAAAAAACGATTAATGCGGAACATGTACTTACAGGTATTTCCCAGAGCTAATTTATTTATATTTAGTTGTACATACTTAGTCTATTCAGTCAACAAACTGTTGCAAGTCAGATAACATCTTATCGTTTTTACTAATAAAAACATTGTAAAAATATTATTCCTTACTTATTGTATTTCTGAAACTCTTAGATTTCAGAATCAAAAAGAACTAATGCTAATATAGGTCTAAATATTATTCACAGCTTTAGACAGATTAGGGTTTAGTGACTACACTGAGGAAGCGGAAGCAGTTTTAAAGGATTGTAAGGCTGTAGCTGCTAAAAGAAGAAGGCAAAGTACCCGCCTGGAAAATTTAGGAATACCTGAAGAAGAATTATTAAGACAACAGCAGGAGCTTTTTGCAAAGGTAAGAACACATTTGTAGTACACCTCTTGCAGACAGTATTTTATAGACAAATTCACTTAACACAAAAAAAAAACTAAACAATATACAAAAAGTTCTATATTATGATATGTTTTTCAAGTAATGGCATAATATTGTGTCATTTAGAATTGTGATTAATTGGTAACATACTGTTTGAATAGAAGTATTGTATGAAATCAAATTAGCTTGATTGCTATCTGTATTTCTTTATTAAAAAAATTAAGTTAATGCAGATTGTAGTAATAAACATAATGATTTTGTATTTATATCTCTAGGCTCGTGAAGAACAAGCAAAACAGGAACAACAACAGTGGTTGTTACTACAACAGCAAGGGTTGGTGGGACCTGAAGGTGTACCACAGCCCTATGTGCCTCCTCCCACTGTTAAACCTGACGATGATGAGGATGATGATTATTCATAAGAATATTCTTATACCACAAATATTGTAAACAATAATAAGGGTTTATAACAATGCCATTTTATTCCTGATTTTTTAATATGTTAGCAATAACTTCGAATGAAGTTTAAGAGAAAAAATAACTGGAACTTGTAAATAAAAATCATTTCTCTTTGGGTTCAGTTTGTTATTAAAATAAACCATATTTTAAAGAATGTGTACGATATGTAATGGTTGCTTAGAAATTAAAAATTGCCAACACTTCTGTCTGGTTTAATTCAGTTCTTGTTTTAATTTTAACTGTAGAGCAGTCTCATGCTGGTAAATACAATTTTCTACCATTATAGAAACCTAACTACATTATCTCCATTTTTTATTTACTTGTATGTTCTTTAATGCCAATTTCTAACAGTAGTTTTTATGTAGTACCTGATTTATGTGATACTAGATTTGTCCTGCGACTCCATCACCATTGTATTAAAAAAAAAACAAAAGTAGTCTATGTGTTCTTTTAAAATATACTCTAAATCTATGCCATAGGATAAAAAAAAATAGTGGACTAAAAACACAATGTAAATTATATTTGTAATCTACATATTTGACTGCATTGTTAGACTTCTGTAACATGTCAATGCCAAGAAAATTGTAAACAATATTATTTATAAATAAAATGTTAGCTACAAAACTATCAAAATGTTTGTTATCATACTGAAGAAATGAATAGTACTAATACTAACAAAAATTTGAAGAGATCTAAGCGTAAAACATTTTCAAATTCAACTTTAAAAAATGTGTACCTACATTTTTAATTATTATTCATCAGTGTTTTATACATGCTACAAAACCTACACTTAGGCCTACTTTTTATCACACATACATTTACAAAAACATCTCTGAGTGTATTATACGAATGATAGAACCAGAGGGTGTTTTCTTCAAAATAATATAGATCACTTCATAGTTGAATATTATTTTTTTTAACAAGATGTTATAATTTAAAACTTATTTTTAGAAGTCGGACTACTAAGAAGGGAAATGTTATAAAACCTGTGTCCCCATTGTTAGCAAAGGATTCAGAATGGGTAGACATTTTACAAACTTCAAAACCCCAGTCAACTTTAAATGAAAAATTAGATGAAGAGGAAGTACTGCAACTTGTAATATATTTTTTAAACCAAAAGAATAGAATCCAAGTTTTCAATCAATGTATAATTTTTATTTTTTCAAAGAAAACATATCAAAGTCTACTAGACTAGTAGAATGTTTTAAATTGTATTAATAGGTAAAAAATGGTGAGATGTGACATACTTTTGCCTCTAGGTTATTTTGATTTTGCAGGTAGATTGTGAAAATGGATTGGATAAAAAACCTCTTGCAATACTTTTCCCCAGTTTGCTCGAAAAAGACCCACAAACACTAAAGGGTGTTTTGAACAAAGCCATGTCTACAACTGAAGTGACTAAACATTTGGTTGATTTGGGTCAAAAAGCTAATTTTGCATTTATGAAAAAAACCAATCGACTTATTCCATATAACAAGGTGTGTCAGACTTTATTACTAATGATTAGCTAAACTTATGTAGAGGATTTCAAAAATAACTATTTATTTCTCAGCAATGGTTGGAAAGCTTAGTAGAAGTAAGTCAATCCAATCAGTCAATTCAAACAGAGGATCTGAGCTCAGGTAAGCACAATTAAATTCTACATTCACTCCTTGGCCACCTGAATTTTCCTATTAATTTTTGTTAAACATATTTGATTTTAAAGCTGATGAAGCTAATAAAATGAGTCCGGTCAGTAAAGATGTTACACAGGCGAAGTATTAGCAAGTCATGAAGAAAATGCAACCAGCTTGTTTAAATCTTAAAAACTACTATACTATAATATAACTGAAAGCAGGCAGGCATCAGCTGAAACTTTTATGTTCTACACTATTAAAGGTGATCAAAATAGTTCGAGGTATTTTGCTTTTGTAATTCCATAACTTGAGAAAACATGATTAATTAATCTATACTATTATAATAAAGCGTAAACACACACTTCTTTGTTGTCTAAGATGTCAGCAATTACAGCATATTTTTGAATAATTATTTTTTAATAAAAAACCCTACACTTATGTCACGCTTTAGGCTATATATTTTCACGCCATAAACTTAGGGTGTTAATATTTTGCATAAAATCCTAATGTGGGAAAGAGACCATAAGTTGCTGCCAACATCAAGGAAGCTTGGTTGTCATTATGTCATGTCATTTTGACATTTGTAATTTGTAATTTCATGCGGTTGCAGTCGTACGGGAACAGCTAGTAAGTAAATAAAAATCAAATTCATATAAATACATTATATTGAACAATAAAATAAATCACTATTCAAAACCCTAAAAAAATTTGCAATACTTAAAATAACAGCCATATATAAAATATGTATATATGCTTGTTATATAGTATTTAATAGTAAATATATTTGATTGATATAATTCCACAGTTTAATTTTCCTTAATTGGCTTAGAAGGATGTATTTGCAAAAAATTGAAAAATTGTTTTTTTGTAAGTTGAAATTGGTCATCTCTGGAAGACATCCACATATATCAATTACATTAGGAAAAGCCAAACAAAAGCTTTCAAATTTATTCAAATTCATGTATTTTAGTATTACCTAATTTTTCTTAATTGCATTATATCTTGCATTTTGCAAATACATCTTTACAAATAATAAATCTAAGTTTTTGTGTATTATGCAAGTGAGATTATAATTTGAAGGGAAAAACGTTAAATATGATATAGTCTTTGCATGTACTATTCTGTCAATAATTATATTTTTTATAATAATTAAATGATTATTCTAATAATAATATGCTTAAAGTAAAATGAGTTGAGCATACCATATCATAGACTATTTCCAATAAAAAAAGATAAAACATACCTTGCTATAAACAAGAGAATACGTGGAACATTTTTACATACATATCAATCTTTAACATTTTTATTTATCATCTCTTACTTCATTAATAGTTGCTAATATGCACGCAATAAAAACGAATTAAATATACATTTAAGATCAAATATATTTACAGATCACACAGACTGAAAAAACTTATATACACATACTTGCAAAGACTTACATCCCTTACATAAAAAAGTAGGCAGTTTATGGTTTTCTGTTTAAATGATTTCTTTTTTAATTTTCATGTGTTATTTTGCTTTATTTAGCAAGAGATCTTCGACATTGTCAAAAACATTATAACCGAAGTCAGTAAGATGTTAAGACTCATTTAAAAATAATTTGCCTACTTACATTATTTAGGGATATCTAAGACAACATTAATAAACTATATGACTGACGTAAGCTAGCATAACAATAGTATTCAATCTAAACTATACTAGCTGAAGAAGTTATTTAAAGATACTGGGACCTAATCATAGAGGTATTGTCAATTTTGTCTGGTGTTTATCCTCATTTCTTAATAAAACATAATAAGCAATTTCAAAAGAAAATCTGCCACAGTACCAGTTATAATATAATGACATACGGATAAATAAAATACAAATTTTACTATTTTGATAATTCTAAACATATAGGGAAAAATTTACAAACAATGAACAACAGCAAAAAGTTACTGGAAGGCATTATTTTACTTTGGTTAAATATATTATCTAATATTTTCCTAACGGCCGAATACTGAAACAATATTAAAATATGTAACATCTTAAATGATAAGGCCACGCTTAAACTCCAAAGTGCATTTAATATTGTAACGTCTGTCAGATTGTAAGCAGCGCTTACGAAGCGAAGTGTTAAGATTCTTTTCAATATTCGGCCGTAATTCTTACAAATAAATCAATTGACAGATTTATATGAAGATAAGCATATTCAACTCTCCAAAGATGTGGAGTCAACTCCCAAAATCTATTTATTACTGTATATGACAACATTCATATATTTTAATAAAAAATTACATTACTATGTAAAAAAATATAAATCACTATTTTTTTACTATTTGTTCTTACAATATATGGTTATGGTAATCATTATGTTTGTGGCAACTTTTTTATTATTTTTTTATTGTTTTATCATAAAATATTTATATGAATATTGGTTATTTGAGGCAGCTAATTAGTACATTCAACATTCTACATAAAAAAATTATATTAAATCTATTTATATTTTTTAAAATTTATGTAAAGGCAGTAAGGGTCTTTAAAATCCATGTTACATATTCTAAACTGCTGTATCATATCAACTAAATCTTTTAGCTATTAACAATTCAGATTTGATGTTCTTACCATAATTGGCATAGTGTATCAAAAAACCGACAAATTAAACCTACAATCCATGAAATATGTACATAATATTCTGTTAAATCTGAGTTATGGGCTGAATTATCATTTAATCTTACAGCATTAAGTTATTAGAAATTAACTATTATGAAATATTTTAATGCCTAAATCTAATCATCTACAAATGTTTATTGCAAAATTGGGACCAAATTGTTTTTCTTATAAGTTGATACAACACAGCAATATTTATTAAACTTACTTATCTTTTTTGTAGTTTCACTTTTTTTAAAATTTATGATTATCCTATGACACAACCTTCAAAACGTGTGCTAGTCCTTCTTACATATTTTGCTTATAAATTGTCAGTATAAAATGCACAAGTCAAGCTGCCAGGCTATTCTTATCATATCCATAATTATTGCATTTCTTTTTTCTGTTACATCAATTGTTACATAAAACTAACATGTCACTATATGTTATTAATTGGAAAATGACAATTTAAATTTAAAAATAAAAGCGTATCTCAGGAAAAGATTAAAGAGAAAGGTTCTGATATAATAAAAACAGTACCGCCGATGAGCGCGATGGCCGCGGCGGCAGCGAAGCGTCACGCCCGTTTTTTCGGCGCGGCGGCAGAGCTCGCGCGCTCGCAGGCGTAGCGTCATTGCGTCGTCTTCAAGGACGCCATCTTGCGGCCGCGCGCGCGCGCCTCCTGTCGCGACTTTGTGTATTCGAACCACAATACATTAGGGATTAGTGTTGTATCCCTTATCATTAGAATTTCACACAATTTCCTAAAACAAAAAGATAATTTTAACAAAGTTTCAGTAAGTAATATGTATCATGAGATATACCAATTATCAAGTAAAACAAATTACATATTGCCAGATTTATACACAGGAAATAATTATTAAGTACTAAAAGATTATAATTGAAATTTTTTAATTATTCTTAATAGTTATCTGTTGATGTTTAATATATAAAAAAAATAATAAACTTACAAAGAAACTAGTTGTGGGAATAATGGTGTTAGAACCCTATGCACAACAATGAACCAAGTTGTTGCAAACAAAAATCCTATGATTCCTCCAACCACTACTTGAGATACAGTGTGATAATGCAAGTACACTCTGGCAATGCTCACAAGCACAGCCACAATGAAACAACCACCAACTATGATGACTCTCCACAGAGCAGAAATTATACTATTATTATTTATGTGGTGTAATCTGAAATTATTAAAACATTATATTAGTACTACATTTAAAAATTATATTGCTTCAAGACCTACATCTAAATGACTCAAGAATGCACATTGTCAATGAACTTGACCTGTAAAATGCTGCCCATATACATCTACAAGAACTTAAAAAGTTTTCACAAATATTTAAGAGAAGAATTATTTCACTTTTCTGTCTATTTCAAAAGCACATTAATTTGCTATCTTTTTATAACATTCCAGGTGTGTTAGAAAGAAATTAATAAAATTGGGCCTCCAGAACCTTCTTCCTTCCAGTAAATAAACAATATTGTAGGCAATTTTCTCTACTGTGTAATAATTTTAACATCAAAAAAATATAAAACCTTACCTTATGATAAAGAAATATAAGACGTAAAAGCTGAAAAACCATATGTTCTGAGCATGGGATGATGGCATTCCATATTCATTATATAAATGACCTCTTGCAAGTGGTCTTGGTTCACATATTAAATGTTTTAATATTATATTCAATAATTCATTTATTAAAGTCCCAAAAAAGAAAGCTATCTGAAATACAATGTTTATATATTTAAAGTATATTAAAAAAAGTTAAATAGAAATGTTATAAATATAAACTTACTGTGTGCAGATCACGTCTAAATAAAATTAGTGTTACAAACCCGGCGCCAATACCAAAGGGAGCCAAACTTATTAGTGCAAAGATTTTACCAATCCAATCACCTGGAAAATTACATATTAAAATCGAAATCATTTTTGAAGCAGAGACATTGACATTGTAAACATAAACTGTATGTATGAAAGTTCTTCTTTAAAGTTTTTTAAACACGCAGGTTCGAGGTACATAAATCCTACTTGGGACCTCACATTAAATATACCCTTATCAAAGATCGATATAATAATATACCTTTAGGATATTCGACTAAAGTTAAAGCTAAAGGCTGCCATTCTATTTCACCATTATTATAAAAATGTTCATTTCCCGACAAGACAGCTTCGCCCATTATGTATCACTTTTAAAAATATATAATACTTCTGAAATAGTTAAGAATAAAGCCATAAATAAATTATTGTGCATATAACGTAGAAATAACGGCACAACTCAGTTATCAAATGTTCGACGACTTTGGACTTGACAACAGCATTATGACAATTGACAACACTAATTATTTTTTTAATCAAAGAGGTATAGATAATTATTGTTGTATAGATAATATCGACTGATGCATACTGAAGATTAAATGAAATGTAGCTAACTATCACTGAATAGCAACTAGATTTGCAGTTTTTACGGGTCTATTTTCAGCTTTCATTTTTTACAAAGAACCTTTTTTCAAAGAAGAAGAAGAAGAAATTTTATTTAACTTAACGTATTCATTTTGATGTAAAGATAAAGTTTAAATCTTTTCAAATGTTATATCTTAAGCATACATTTTAAGTAAAAAGAATTTCAGGCTCATTTGTTATCGCTCATTTGTTATTTATTATCGCTTTAAGTAGTTCAAATAGTATCATAATATTAGATCGCTCAAATTGCTTTTTCTCAATTAATTTTTGGTAATGGCAACAACTTCTTTAAAAAAATTATTTCCACGGCCTTGGAATTGACATCTGACTTCATTTGACATCGTCGAATTGTCAAATGTTTTTTGAAATCGAAGTCGGGTTCAATTTTTTGAGTTTGTGAAGTTGGTGAATTAATATGCTGTAAAAATAAGAAAGCTGCGGGTAAAAAACTGTTTGGGCTATAAACGAACGAAAAGTATAAAATGCTGGATTTAACTTTTAAATGACATTGACAAATTGACTTATTTAAGTTTAAAGTGTTGCAATATCAATGGAGATTGTGGCGCCCTCATAATAGGTTTTTGTTTGGCCAATGCTTTTGTACTTTTGGGTAATATTAAAGTGGTTGAATATTTTTAATCTATTCAACTTCATGTCCATTATTATTTTACACTCCCAACACCATTTTGACAATACAAGTAGGAGACCTTTTTCTTTCTTTTGTGATTCAGTCGTCAAAATAACAGAGGATATTTTAGGTTTAAATATATCCTTTTGATATTATAACCAGCAAAAATGGCAGAGCCGGAAGTAGTGGAATTGGATTTAACAATCGACGATTTGGTTCCAAAAAGTCCGGAAAGGTAACTTGTTTTTTTTTTTGAAGTGAACTTATGTTAAAGTGAAAATTCGTTTATTTTTCTGATTCTTTCTACTTATTTACAAAAATCATGAAGTAAATATTGTTAATCTTGATGGTTCTTCATATTCCAACTATTCAGTACCTTGACATTTGACCTACTTGTAGTACAGTAACTTGGGTCTTTATGTGGGTGAATGAAAAAGTTCGATGTATTTCATGTATTTACATTCTAAGAATTCTTGTCTAATGAGTTCCAAAGAATTATTTTTTTCATATTGATATTTATTTCTAAGGAATATATGATATGCTTTAAGGGTGATTAACATTATTTCGTAATTGAAATAAAAATTTAAATTTTAATTGTGTTTATATTGTAATAAATGTGAATGTAATCGCCCACTACTTAAATAATCTAACAATGCAAAGAAGAAAAATTGCATTGTCATTTTGATAAATAAAGCTTGCTTATTAAAATTTTCCTTCTTTACATGTGTTATAGACTGGCCGAAGAAAAGAAAGAAAGTGGTAACCATTTGTACAAATTTAAAAATTATAAAGGTGCATTGGCAATGTATGAAGAAGCCATAAAGCTATGTCCGGATAATGCATCATACTATGGAAATAGATCCGCCTGTTATATGATGATGGGCATGTATAAAAAGGCTTTAGAAGATGCTCAAAAAGCTGTTGCATTAGATCCTACATTCACAAAAGGTTATATACGTGTCACAAAGTGCTGCATAGCTCTAGGTTTGTACATTTTAAATGGAGCACTTATATATTTATTCATGTTAGTATTAAAAATAGGACAGTTTGTATGGATGTATGTTTGTTTGTTACTATATATATCTCTCAAATGACTTAACAGATATTGATGGAATTTTGTACAGATGTAAAACAAGTGCAAGAAAACACAGGCTACTTATTAAATTGTTTTTAATTCCACATTAATAGTGTTGCAGGCAAATGATTGTCATTTGAGTTATATGATTTATTATAAATTTTTTGGGTATATTGTAAAATATAATATTATGTAGAAACCATTAATTTTAAAATGCATTTTTACAAAACCTATTTTAATATCTATATACAAATTTAAAACATTATATGTACATTTCAGGCGATCTATTTGGTGGTGATCAAGCAGCCCAACGAGCTAGTGAACTTGGTGGAGCAGACTGTGTAACAAGTGAGAGACGTGCACTTGAAACCCTGCGTAGACTGAACGAGGATGCACAACGGGCTTTGGATGCTGGAGATTATCGCCGAGTCGTCTTTTGCATGGACCGATGCCTTGATTACAGTCCTTCAAGTACCAAGTAAGTTTATATTTGTACCTTCATTAACTAATTTAATATTTTATATCTTACTTCTTACTAATATTATAAATGCGAAAGTTTAGAATGATGGATGGATGGATGTTTGTTTGTTAGAGTTTGTAGCTTAAACGGCTATACGGATCTCCATGAAATTTGGCACAGATGTAGAGTATGTTGTGGAAGAACATGTTGGTTACTTAGTTATTTTTTAAATTCGACATGGATGGAGTTGATGGCGAAAGCTAGTAGTTTAATAATTTGTTACATGTTTCTTATCTTTAACTGTTGCTTCCTGGCTTGTCCTCTGTTATTTAATAGTGTTTTTGATATCATAAGTGTGTAGAAAATAATGTTATCTAATTGAAAATGACAATTGTAATGTATTATATTGTCTGAAGGTTACATGGCTCAGTGACATCAAGGTTATATAAAAGTTTGTATGTTCCTAATTACAATCAATATATGTGTTGACAATAGACAATTACATATGTAAATATTTTAACCAAAAGTAAATTTTCCTACTAAGACAATTTCTGGTGTTGGAGATATCAAATATAACTGTGAATATATTCTGGTGATTCCCAATTAAAAACCACAGATAAGTAATTATTGGAGTTCACTATAAAGTTTCACCATAAAAATAATTATTGTTGGATATTTTGGAAACTATTTGACCCTCTTGAACTGGTTCACTATCATTGTAAATAGCTTGTGTAAATAAATAATTGTAATTGGTTAATTATTTACATCCATTCTGCCAGATATGGTTGGACATAAGTTTATTTCCTTAGTGTATGCCTTCCTGCCTTGAACAATGAGCTGTATGTGTAAACATCATTATGGTCTGTTCCATTCACAAGAAGGTCATTGTACAGATATCCTTATTGATACATTTTTGTACATGTAAGGCTGACTCACATTTTTGTTATTAAATTTTCACTTTAGTCTTAACAAGTGTTTGATGTTTATACATCTACTCGCACATTCTCTGATATCTGTATAATGTTAAAAAATTATAATCTTTTCAGTGCATTAGTCTAGGAAAAGTTTATGTCTTATATAATAAAATATTTTTACAGGGCAAAACTAACTAAAGCAGAATGTTTGGCAATGCTTGGTCGTTGCCAAGAGGCGCAAGAAATTGCGAACGACTGCTTACGGTCAAATAGTTTCGACACTGAAGCCATATTTGTTCGAGGATTATGTCTGTATTTCGAGGTAAAAAAAAATCGTGAATGATGTTTCGAGTTTATATATTGCAATATTTACAAATTATTGTATTTATTATTTTTTTACAGGACAAAGATGAACAGGCATTCAAGCATTTCCAACAAGTATTACGACTGGCACCAGATCATAAAAAAGCAATGGAAACCTATAAAAAAGCTAAACTATTAAAACAGAAAAAAGAAGAAGGTGAATATTTCAATGACTGATTTTTATTAAGTAATTAAGAAAAGATACTCTTATTCAAACTCGATCACATAAGTATAAAAATTGTAATACAATATGTTTTGTTTTAGGTAACGAGGCTTTCAAAATGGGTCGATGGCAACAAGCTCTGAATCTCTACAAGGAGGCTCTGGAGGTGGACAAGAACAATAAAACTGTGAACGCCAAGCTGTACTACAACAAGGCGACCGTGTGCGCCAAAATGAACCAGACAAAGGAAGCGGCGGAGGCGTGCAGCGCCGCCCTCGACCTCGACGAGAACTACGTGAAGGCCTTGCTGCGCCGCGCCAAGTGCTACTCCGAGCTCGGCGAACACGAGGACGCCGTCAAGGACTACGAGCGCCTGCTTAAGATCGACAAGAACAAGGAGCACAAGCAGCTCCTGCACGAGGCCAAGATCGCTCTCAAGAAGTCCAAACGCAAAGACTATTACAAGATCCTCGGCATCGAGAAGAACGCTTCCGAAGACGATATCAAGAAAGCCTACAGGTATACAATATAAAGTTCCAATAGCCCAATGTTTTGGGGTATGGAGTACCGCTCTTGCGGTCGAGGGTTCGAACCCCGCCATTCGACTATTGTCGTGAATCATATCCTAGCATAAGCCTAGTTTAGTTGGATTTAGATAAAGAAAAATCTACTAATTTTTATAAAAAAAAATTGTGTTACAATTGAAATAGTTCTAACCATCTTAAGTAGATAGTAACAGTAGATATTGTGGTGGTAGGAAGCGCGCGTTGGTGCACCATCCGGACCGGCACGCGGGCGCGTCGGACAGCGAGCGGCGCGAGCAGGAGCGCCGCTTCAAGGAGGTGGGCGAGGCGTACGGCGTGCTCAGCGACCCCAAGAAGCGCGCCCGATACGACCACGGACAGGACCTCGACGACGGCTGCTCCGGCGCAGGTCACACACACACACACACACACACACACACACCGCATACACGTCCACAAACACGTCTAACCCCGAAATACGTGATTTTTCCAAACCTACCGAAAAAATCAGTTTAATACAAAATCAGTATTATAATAAAGGAAAAATGAAGTAGCGGAAGAATGTATTTATATAATGCATTTAAGGGTTAAACTTGTTTTAAAGTTAATTTATTGCGAAAGTGAAATGTGAATGTTTGGAGAAATACTTAAGGGCAATATCAAAAGGACTAAAACCGGCTATTATGAATGAAAAAGCGAGGTGTGCGTCAGGATCGCACCAAATCTAGTAATCAATCCGTGGTCTATGTCTACCCTTCAGAGTTACGGGCGTGAATTATATTTGTTGTCCCCTATGTAATGTGATATATACAATCAACTACTTATTTTTTTTTTGTCTTATAATTTACAACACACTGTCAATTTAACATACAATGAATGTGAGCACAAAAGACAAGCAAAATGTTAAATAGATTTCTTTTCACTTTCAGATATCGACCCGAACGTAGTATTCCAGGCGTTCTTCAACCGCGGCCAACATTTCGAGTTCCCGACGGGCGGCTTCCCCGGTTCTTCATTTACTTTCCAATTCGGTTAATTTTATACAACTTACATATTCCATACAGAAGATACCACTACTTGAAAACAAGTACAAATACTAATAATGTTTAAAGTGTTTACAAGTACAATGCCTATTAATGTCATTCCAATTAAATTAAAATATACTTTTATCGGTGGAAAATTATTAAAACAACTGAGTTTTTAACTTATGTATGAGAATTACCAAATATTAACAAGTACAGTGTTATATGCCAAAAATGATAAAATTAAGTAACATTTCAAAAATGATTCCACGCATCTTGCACGACACGTTGGTATCTCCTAATTTATTTCTAGAAATAGTTACGCCCGCTTTTATCCTTTGACTGACAAAACTTTTGCCTGAATATCTATAATTTTTTTTCTTTTTGGTAGTTGATAATTCCTGAGTAACAAGAAGTTATTATAAATTACTCATCTTTGTCGGATCCTGTGTGATACGCAACATACGTAGTGATTTTAATATTGACTGATTTGGTTAAGTGATTTATCGGTTTATGTTTTGGTTCTTGTGATCACACCCAGTGGTATCTTAGAAGCTTATAAGATTTTGTAGCAAACCATACCGTAGTCTCGATACAAACACATCTCTTGCTTGACAACAATTTCACATAAGAGAAATAAGTGTTAGATAAAAGTGACAAGTCAATATTCTCTAATGTTTTAACAATTTAATAAAATTCTTACACAAGAAATGTTGATTGTAGTGTTTTATTTTACCTTTGGGCACAAACTACTGAAAACGCCTATACTTGTGTTTTGGCGTTAGTTTTTCAAGATATTTATTTGCAATTATGTGTGTAATAAATGTATATGACACTACCTATCGCCCGTGACAACGTCTGCGTGGGATTTATAAAAGAAAGTGGTTAAAGGTTCCTTACAGCCTATGTTGTACAAGTATGCCGAATTTCCTCGAATATCCTTTCAGCCGCTAGGAGATACCTAGTAAAATCGACCCAAACATACGCAATTATATCGTAAGAACATGTAAACGTATTTGAATTCAGTAAAAGTGTACAAATATGCTTATAAAGTCGTATAATATAATATAAAATAATATCATGTACACAAGTCAATACAATACTGGGCTTATCAAATAGATTCAAAAATATGTAAATATGCAAATACTATTTTGCTGTTTGTTTTTGTTTATTTTTCTTTTCATATCCCATGGCTTTGTCAGAAGGATCACGCTTGGTGACTGTTTTGCTTCCAATGCCTTCAAATCTATAAAGAAAAAATAATGTTAGCTTTCTGCAAGAAAATTTCGGATATCAAAACTTTGGGTATGAGTCGACTGTTTTTTTGGGCAGATAAAAAAGTAGTAGAGAGGTACATCAATGTATTGAAAACTCCTGCAATAGTTGTATGATTTACTTTTTCATTCTGAATGGTTGTTTCTTCACCGGCTTGGGTGGTTGATGGTTGTTTTTGAAGGTTAACACATAACGTTTAACTATATCAATGTTTACGGTTGTATTCTCTGGATACATGCGCTTTTTCCAAGCTTCGCGTTCTTCAAGCCACATTCTATAGTATTCGTTAGACAATAGCCATTCTATTCGGGATGGACCTTCCTGTAGATTTGATGAAAAAGGACACAATAATTAGTTTCAGACAGTGTCGCTAATTTTGTCTTCAGTAATACGTATTATTTTTTCTCAATCGTACATAAATTCGTAGACCTATTACAACAGAAGAGTATAGAAAATTAATAAGGTCTTGAAAATGATAGTTAAATCTGGATTTTTAGTTAATTCGCAGTCTGTCTGCTTTTGTCTAAGTAGGTCATCATATTAAAGTGATTCTGAACAGTAACAAGTTAATAAATTTTAATCATCCATATTGCCAAATACTCCAAATGGGTACTTACGGAAAATTTCCAGGGTTGAGGCAAGTATTTTGGAAAATCGGATGAAATGATATTGTGTATGGGCCTACATAGCGCAGATTTTTCCCATTTAATACTTGCTCTGCGACCCATGAGACCAACACGTTGAGTTGTAAGAAAATAAAATAATCCAATGAAATTTAAAATGACACCATAATGAAAAATTCGAATTTTAAAACAAGGTACTTTTTAAGTTAGGTTTTACCACGGAATACAAAGAGTATGTTACTTTTATTCTCAATTGGTGCAGACTAGACATATTGCCCAGTCAAAGTGCAAATACTGACATTTGAGCTACATAGACAAAAAAATTCAGAGATCTAATACTGTATCCCTAATTTTTGGAACCCAGCAGGACCTTAATATTTTGAGCATTAGATTAAAAAACAAAATGAGGGGGCAGCATATAGAATGAAACAGTTGATTGGATTTTGAAATTTTTATTTGATACATAAGTATGCAGGGAATTTAGAATTTTCTTCATTCATCCACCACCATCCGAATGTACCTGGAACAAAATTTTGAACTTAATTATTATCATCTCAGAATTTCATTACAAAACGCTTTGGTAGTGGCATACTATAAAGTGTAATACTTTAACCATTATTTCAAATGTTTGCTACATTTTAGTCCTCATGTTATTGTGTAAATATTCACAAGGGTGGAGATAGCATTTAATTTTCCCTCCAATTCTTTACATTATTCTCACAGGAGATAACGACTGCCTCGGAGGGTTTTAAAGCTCATGGGACATTTAGCACATGGATAATGGATACAAATGCACGAGTTGCAATTGATGACTTAAAAGTGAGACTGCAATAATTTCTATAACTTAGTATGATCAAATCTCCACACAACCTGAGCATCTTTACACTCTGCAAAGTGATTCTGGCTTAAATAATACTTACAAGTAAAGGTAAGTTTAATATATCTATACATATAGGTAGTAATTATCATTAACACCAATATTTATCGATTAAACATACTATAGACAAGAAATAAGGAGAATGCTCTGTGAACTCAAGTTTCAGAACACGTGTTGTATATTTATATAAAGCTTCAATTACACAGTTTACAAAGTTATATACATATCACAGAACATGCAATTTTTACAATACGTACAGTATTTTTCATCAATTGATTTAAAGTGCATAACGTAATTTGTACATTAGAACTTACCGCTTATTTAGACCTCGCACGCATCTTCCTCCTTTTACGCTTTAGCCTTCGCATGCGCTTCTTACGCCACTGTAAAATTATAAAACAAGATATAATATCAATGCTGGACAAAAATCTTCCGGTAAACGTTGAAAGTTAATTCACATATTAAAGAAAAATACCTTAGCCCTCATATTAAAAAGGGTAAAAACGTTAAAGTGCCGTTGTTGTTAAATCCTTAGCTATGAGGATTGTTTCAATAACTGGAGATTAAAATTTGCAGCTTGTGCTGCGCGCGGTCTGAGTAAAAGAAAGAACGATTTCTAAAGTGACAATTCAACTAAACCAGAATTGCCAGATGTCAATTCTCAATAATTTATCCATAGAGCAACTGTAAAACAAATCACCCAATTGTGGATAAAATAGTTTGGTTCTAAAACGTATTTTACTGTAATCATTAAATCCTTTTTAAACTTAATTCTATTAAACATGTTATAATGACCTAATTTTTGATTTAAAATAAACAGGGTATCTTATCTTGATGATTATTTTATATTCAAAGTCACACAGTCGTTTGCCTTGGTTTGCCTCCATAAATTGTTAGCAATCTTACTAACATTATAAATGAGAAAATTTATGTGGATAGATGTTTGTTACCATGTATCTCCAGAACAGCTCGACGAATTTTGATTAAGGACAGACACAGATGTAAAACATAGTCTGGAAGAACACATGGGCTTATACTACTAAGTTTTTTGTAATTCCGCGCGGACGGAGTCGGGTGTGACAGGTCGTAATTTATAAATACAAATATTTTACAAATCTACTTATTGTATTGTAATTATTAGATCTGGTTCGGAACAATTTACAAAATTATTTTATCTATGTCTTCTGTAGTTCTTTTAATTCTTTTCTGCTTTGCTATACTCTTTGATTGTAATTTAACTTGACAAGAGTGGTTACGATACAATATTCGCGCCAAAAACACCTCGCTATTTCTGTGTAATTTTCCAATTTGTCCGCGGTGCTATTTTACAATTGAAACGGTAAGTAAATGCCTATTACATTACTTCGCAAGATAAAGTAATACAATTCGTTATTCAAGTTCAAGACATTTGGTTACTTAAAACTTGTTAAAATATTTGAGTGTTGACCAGTGTTACCAACATGAACATAACACATTAATGTCGAGTACAAGCTGACACGGTTTTATGTATTTTAGATATTTTGCATTGATTATTGATTCATAATATTTGCTAATAATCAGTCATTTATAGCGCAAAGGATTGCATCAAAGCTAAATACTATGTTTATTTATTGCAATGGTCATATATAGGTTTTGTGTTAATTGACGTCGTAAGTGAAAAAAATGGTTACTTCTAATAAAGTGCCCGATCAAAAGATAGTGAAGATGGCAGAACAGAATAATGGTGCTGTGGTCCCTCAAAGAACATTAATTGGGGAAGTAAATGAACATATAACATGTACTTTGTGTCGAGGTTACTACATAGACGCCACCACGATTGTGGAATGTTTACATTCCTTTTGTCGAAGTTGTATTATCAAGCATTTGCAAGTGAAAAGTTACTGCCCTGTTTGTGAGATGATGATTAATTCCGCTAAACCTAACATTAAATTAGATAAAGCGCTTCAAGATATTGTTTACAAACTAGTGCCTGGTCTTTTTCAAAAAGAAATGGAACGTCGACAGCAGTTTTACTCCTCAAGACCAGGACCGGCTGCAACTGCAACACCTGAACAACGCGGTGAAGATACTGAAAGAATTATATTTAGTCCTGAAGATGTCATCTCTTTTTCCCTGGAATATGCCGATCACACTGATGCTGACAGCATCTCAAGCAAATCTTCGGATAGTAATGAAGCTCAAAATACGTTAGTAGCAGCAAGGCGATTTTTGCAATGTCCAGCTGTAGTTAATATAAATCACCTTAAAAAATTTTTGAGTATGAAATTTGATATAGATAGTTCTCAATTTGCTATTGACATACTGTATAAAAGAGTACCACTACCTGATTATTATACATTAATGGACATAGCATACATATACAACTGGAAAAGAAATGAGCCAATGAGATTCTTTTATCACATCATTGATTATGTTGCCATGCGCAATAGACTATTTGATATAAATCAAAAAAGAACACACTTCCCTGATAGAAAACCAAGCCCAACTTCTACCGAAGAAACAATTACCAGCAGCCCTGCACCAAATATTAATGAACAAGGTTCTGAAGTGTCGTCTGGAACTGATAGCCCTATGCTTGATGATAATACTAAAAAAACAAGTGACCCAATAAACAAATGTATTTCAAACAATACAGCAAAAGATACAAATACTACAGAAACCCCAAGTACAAATAAAACTACCTTTATAGTGCCACCTAAGAAGAATGATGATGAAGATGAGAAGTCTCAATTTTTAAATTCTTTTGAGTTAACAGCTAGGAACAGTAGTGTAAATGTAAAAACTTCACCTAAAAAGCCTAATACTGCTGATGCTATCAAAACAAAAGAGAGTCTTCCTAAAAGTGATATGCCTAAAGTAGATGACACTTTGAAGAGAAAACTTCCACCATCATCAAATATGCCTGAAATGAAAAAATTAAAAATTGAATTAGAAAAGGCTAAGCTACCAAGCCCTCCAGCTGTAACAACAATTCCAATTTTATCAACTGTATCAACTGTTCCTGTTCATTCTTCTAAAGAAGCTGCCAAAGTTGAAAAATTACCTGATAATTCTGAAAAGAACAAAATTTTACCAGAATCATTGAAAATGTCTCAATCATCTTCTACTTCAAATGTAAACCCTACAAACTCCACAATGCCACCAAAGGAAAATAAACAACAACAGACAAATGTAGTCAAACCGCAAATTTCTGATAACTCTGGTCTGAAAAGAAATAATCCAGGGGTACAAAGTACATTATCACCAAAACGAAAACCAAATGAGATTCCAACTAACCAGCCTTCATCAGGTCAAAAAACTGTGTCACCACTAAAATTGCATATTCCAAAAATGGATGGTTCATCATCTACTCTAAAGCCACCTGAGACTCCTAAACCAGTTACTAAAAAGATGCCTGATTTAAAACCTAGTGGCTCTATACCTTCATCATCATTTCAAAATAAAGGCCCTCCTGTTAATAAAGTGCGAATGGATCTGCTGGCAAACAATAGTGATCCAACTATAGATAGAAGTAAAATATTATCTCAAGTGAAGTCGTCATTGCCCATGCCTAACACTGGCCAGACAACATCAGGAGACCCTCTAAAGTCCTTGTTTGACTCTTGCAAAATTAATATACCTTCATCTTTATCTATAACTTTAACTGACCAAAAATTGGAGACTCGAAACGGGCCAGATCCAATTAATGTTGATCAGAAAAAGGGTATTATTAATAAGAATTTATCAAATGCTAACAATTTGTCACATAAAGTACCAAGTCCACCCGTCCATAATTATATTGAAATATTAAAATTGCCAGAAACAGATCCAAAAAAGCCAATCAAATTGCCTGAGGCCAATAATGAGATAAAGATTACCCCAACAAAAGGTGAACCTAATACTGGGCAACCAAAGGTTACTAATAAATCTTCAGAAACATCTGCAAAGGGCCCCATACCAAATCTTAAACCCATTTCTGATACTAAGCTGGGAAAGCAGACTGGATCTTTCTCTGCACCCATTACTTTTCAACAGACATTTGAACAGCAACTTCAGTCCATGCAAACAGATAAGAAGGCAAAATTACCAAAAAATAAATCTCAGGTTCCCAAACTTGTACCAGCAACTCCAAAAGCATTCAGTGCAGCTAATAAACTTGGTGCTTCCATTGTTAAACCAGCCGGTCCCAGCTTGCCCCCATTAGAAAGTAAAACTAACGCCGCTTTAGATTTGTCCACTCCACACAATATACAAAGTCAATTGGGCCCACAACAAACAAAAGCATTTGAAACTATGCAATCAATTGCCAATTTAGCCAAGAAACAAGGAATGCCTTCAAAACCATTGCCTCTTCCTTCATCACAAAACAATGTTTTTTCCACTTTAACCAATAGATCTACAAATGCAGTCCCATCTCCATTAAGAGTTCCTTCTGCAAGTGGAATTAATCAATTGAAACTTGAAAAGGTTAATCCTGTTAGTACACCACCCAGTAATTTAAGGCAAGATGTGCAAAACAGTAATAAAGTAAACCAAATGAAACAATCAGTTACTACAAGTTCATCTATACAAAGTTTGGGTTATCCAATGTCTGCCCATAGCTCACAAAGCACAGCACAACCCTCACCAAGATCACAAACTAGATCTCCCAGTTCTTCTCCTAAATTAGTTATAGCAGAAGAGAAGCAATCAAGTAATAACTCTATGGAGCATAACATCAATCAGTCAAATCAAATAACAAGTACTCAACTGCCTAGCATGAGTTCTAACAAGAATGAATTACCTAAGCCTGCTCCAGGGCCTTCAAAACCTATGAAACCATTAATACCGACTGGTAAAGTACCAAGTATAAGACAACCAATAACTCCTATCATGAAACACAACTCTCCTATGAATTCATCTGATTATATGAATCCTACACCAATACTTTCTACACACCCCAGTATCACACATCTAATAAGACATCAAATGGAGATGCAAACAGCCTGGCTTAAGGCCCAAAGACAATATGATCTGTTCAAAAATATGTCTAACATGGGTCATCAGCCACAAAACGATTTTAATAACAAAGACAAGCAATAATTATACATTTTAGTGTTTAATAAAATAAGATAGGAGTATGTAATTTGCTTGTTTGTAATAATAAGAAAGTATTTGTGATTGTTTTAGCTATTATTTTAAGATTAAACTTTACATTTAACTTAAAAGTATAATAATGAAATCTCATTTGTGATTTTTGTTTGGCATGGAATTTCACTACAATCAAATAAATTTATGTATTTTTTCTGAAACATATAAAGCAATAATTTATTGATAATGTATAAATATAGTAAGATGTCATTATATTTTTTTTTCTTTATACCTTAAGTGTTTGATAACTTTTGTTTTATAATTGCTTTGATGTTTAATATCATTGTGATTAACTTGTGTTACTTATATTTCTATCACATTATTTAAATAAAACATGATTTTTATCAGTACTATGTTTTTTTTTACTACTTTACTGCTATGATTGTTCCATCTGAAGAAAGCTTAATTTGAGGTAAATTTGTAGATAGTATTTTTTTTAAATATAAGTTTTGATATCTAAAATATGTGACTAAGTTATGTTTATAATTTTAGATGTCTGCTGTCCAAGCAACTATTCCATTTAAAGTGAAAAAGAAGGTTAATATTAATTTGAAAAAAGATAAAATTGTTGAAGATGCTTTAAAGAAAAAACAGAAATTGAGAAGAAAAAATGAAGATTATGAGCTGACATATGGAACTGAGAATGGTTTGAACTTTATGCATACATTTAAATTTAAATTTCCTTGTGTACAATGTCCAATTGTTGTTATTATCAACCTCTATGATGGGCTATAGCTATCTAACCAATGTCTTTAACTGTCAATTTTCAGATTGTTCACCGCCAAAACAAGCTAAGATTACAGAAAATTGTGATGACGACGTGGATAAGGAAAACTCGAATGATCAGTAAGTGCTTATACACATTTTTAATACGATTAACCAAGAACCTACCTGATGTTTATTAAAATCATAGAAATAAGCAATAATTAAAATATTTTTTTTTGTTACAGAAATATCATCGCGGAAAATTCAATGAAACCGTTAGTAGGAAGAGAAAAGGAGATTGCATGGCTTGAACAAAATTTATTAGAACATCTTGAGAATGAAGAATCCGCATCTTTATATGTCTCTGGTCAGCCCGGCACAGGGAAGACAGCCAGTTTGAAATATATATTAAATTTACCTAAGGTATTTTAATTAATTTGAAATAATGCTTAATAAGAATAGATAGTTTTTAATTATGAATGGTTATCTAATTTAAAGTTATAAAGAAATGATTGCTACATAATTTCCTATTTTTAATAATACTGTATTTGCATTTCAGATAAGAAATGGCTACAAGCAGGTCTACATAAATTGCACAATGATGAAGTCCGCAGCCAGCATATTCAGTAGGATCTGTAGCGAACTGCAGCTGAAGACGAGTGGAACTACTGAGAAGGCCTGTCTCACCGCTATCGAAAAATACTTCAAAAAGAATCAAAAGATGATGTAGGTTTAGAGATTTTAACATGTAGCCTTAACAGCTGAACGGATTTTGACGTAATTTGGCATATATGTAGAACATAATGTGGAAGAACATATCGACTACTTACTTTTGTTTTTTTTAATTCCACGCGAACGGTGTCGCGGACAAAAGCTAATTATCAATTAATTTTGTTGCCTACTTAAGCTAAACTATGGCTTGTGTGATTTTCGCAAATAGTGAAGTTATCTTTAACATGCACAATAATGGCATCGCAGATTACTGGTGCTGGACGAGATCGACCAGCTGGAGAGCAAGCGGCAGGCGGTGCTGTACACGGTGTTCGAGTGGGCGGGCGTGCACGCGCGCGTGCTGCTGGTGGGCGTGGCCAACGCGCTGGACCTGACGGAGCGCAGCCTGCCGCGGCTGCAGGCGCGCCATCTGCGCCCGCGCACGCTGCACTTCGCGCCCTACACCAAGCAGCAGATCATCGACATATTCGTCTCCGTGCTCGAAAAGGAGGATAAGACCAACGCCTTCTCGCCCGTCGCTCTGCAGTTGTTGGCCGGTATCTATGTGTTTGTTTAGTTACTTCTTGGACGATTAAGATAAACCCAAATGAACGATACTATCATACTGGTATTATAGATGCGAAAGTGTAGATGGATGGATGCTTGTTAGAGTTTGTAGTCTAAACGGCTGAACAGATTACGATGATATATGGAGAGGATAGTCTAGAAGAACACATAGGCTACTTAGTTTCGTTATTTTTTAATTTCATGCAGACGAAGATGCGGGAAAACATTTTTAATATGTTCCAATTTTCAGCTAAAATATCCGCCGTGTCGGGGGACATGCGGCGAGCGCTCGATATCGGTAAGAGGGTGATCGAGCTCGCCAAACGCAGCAAGTTCTCAGAGAATCACTGCGTCGACAGCATGATGAAGGACGCCAGCGTCACCGTCGAGCTAAAGCAAGTTCTAGAAGTACTGGACGATGTGTACGGAGGCGGCAGGAAGATCGAGAACGATGTAGAGGAAGGCCTGCCCATGCAGCAAAAGTTGGTTCTATGCAGCATTATGCTGATCCTGACTAAGGGGAAGAATAAAGATTTGGTTATGGGGAAGTTACACGATGTTTATAAAAGGTAAACATAAATATGAAATTAATAATTAAAATAAGCAAAATACTATACTAGATCTTTTTACTTCTTGAATAGATCTAGTATAGTATTTTTCACATAACTTGGTTTGCTCGCGAATTGACCTCGAGCGGTTAAGATATTATATGCTATGAACGGTTCATTTTGTCTCTGGTTATGAGATGTAAAACATTGTTAATTTGTCGTGTAGGGTCGCTCGGTCGCGGAACATAGCGCCGCTCGACATCAGCGAGATGATGAGCGCGTGCTCGCTGCTGGAGGCGCGCGGCGCGCTGGGCGCGGGGGCGGGGGCGGGCGGGGGCGCGGGGCGCGGGCGGCGGCTGCGCCTGCAGTGGGACGAGGCGGAGCTGCTCGCCGCGCTGCAGGACAAGCCCCTGCTCTCCGCCATACTGAATGACGTCAACTGCTTGTCAGCTTCATAGCACCATGTGTCATTGCTAGTGTTTTAGGCCACATCTACCGTTTCAAGCCCCACGACGAGTGTGACCAGCCTTAGTTGTAATTTGGACGCGCTTGGTACAAGTACAGGAACTTTTTCTTTTAATTTTGACAAGTTATGTGTTGTATGCAGCAAGATGATATGAAAAACTATTACGGAATTCAAATGTAGTGTTATTTCACGCTTCTATAGTCAAAGTGCTTTATAACTAAGAGATTTAAAGTTAAGTTTTAAAGTTAGTGGAATTTTGTGTTGGTGATGAAAATGTTGTCATTAAGTATTATTAAGTGTAACATTTTGTTTGAATCACATGTAAACTAGTATTTATCACTTGACTGTTTAACATAAGTAGACAATAATGTAATAGGATGTGTAGGTAGTGTTAAGTTTCTGTATGTTATGACATGAATATCAATTTTCTTCATAAAAATTGTGTTCAAAATTTACTCAGTTCTCTTTGCCTTTTTTTGCTTTTACTATGCTGTAAGGGATGTACGTGTGGGATATTAACCCTTAACAAACGTCACACAAGTGTTTTGGCATTTTTTTTATTTTTCGTACTGTTTTTAATAAGGATTTTGTATATTTTTATTATACTTTTACTACAACTCAACTTTTAAACTTTTTAAAACTATGTGTTATATGCAAAATTGTGTTAATACGATATTTTTTTTCATTAAATCGATTTTACGACTAATGTTTCTTATTGTTTAAAAATAATTTTGTATACTCGTGTACTCTGGAATAGTAAGAAATTCCAAAATAGTGAGAAATTTCGGAATAGTAAAAAATATTTTGAGGTTTTAACATATTTTTTACTGACTGACATTCATACAATTATGTTGCAAAATTATTTGTCTCGTTTCCTGTTAGTTTATATTAGTTTTTCTTTTGATGTATGTTTTGTGTGTTCATATGTATTTGATTATTATTTTGTTGTAAAATATTGTGTTTCTTCTTTTTATAATGGTCTTGTATGATTTATATAAAATGTTGTTTTTAGTAAATCCCGTTTTCTCTCGCTGTATTTCTGTTGTACCGCGAACATTGTTCTCTAAGCTAAGACTGATGAATTATGCAGTTATCTTTATATGTTTGTCAAAGTTATTTATGCTTTTTAATTGTCTTATTTTTAATTTTAATAAAATAATTCAAATTGTATGAAATGTCATTATTATTTATTTCAACTTGAATCTCATACTTTTCATAAAACTAATACGTTCTATTATGTCTGGCTTTCCCAGCCTTTTGTAGGTACAAAAATGCAATAAAAGACAATTCTAAACATTATTAATTTATTCTATTCCTTAAAATTAATACTAATTTGTGCGAAAAGCTTTTTACAATAAACGACTGACCCAAGTTCTAACAATTAGGTATTTTGATCATGTTTGTATAGCTTGAAAGAATTTAATTCTCCATCGCTCGGAAACGTAGTAAGTACGTAAATTAGATACCCAATATAGTTTGTTTATTTTTAATAATAAATAACTTAAAAAGATAAAGTCAATTTTGTACAATGTCAGCCATCTAAAATAGAAGGCGTTGGTGCGATGTGTGTGCGTGAGGGGCATCAGATGCGGAGGCCGGGGTTTCTGGAGCGCACGAAGTTGAGGAGCTCGTCGCTGTCCTCGCAAATGAACGGTTTAACATGGTGGCAGGCCACGTCGTGCCACTTGATGCCGTCGTTGTAGAAGTTGTTCAGGATTGACAGACAAGACTCGTCGTTACCCTGCAAATATTATGCAAGTTAAATTTATTACAAAGAGCTGTTACGCTAATGCTTTTATGATATGTAATTCAAAAGTTGGAAACAAAAAGAATAGACAATATAAAGAAAGACAAAAAACACTAGAGCTATGTTGCAAGGCTAATCAATTTAATATTAGCTTAGAGACTGGCCAAGAAGGTAACCAAAATACAGGTCTCGATGAGCTCAAGTCGTGAGCGCGCAATCATTTCGTCATAGTAATAACTATCCGTTCCCACGGTACATCGTATTGCAATTGACCATTATTCATACTAGTGGACCATTATATTCTTTGGTTTCGATGATAAATTATGAAATAGGTGCTATAAAATTTCGACCGTAAATATTTAAATGAAGTTAATCAGGAAACCACTTTCACTGTGCGTATGCGTAACGACAAAGTGACTAACTTTGAATCATAATATGAAAGTAATTTGCAAAACCATATGAGTGATGTTTAATTCTTCTCAGAAGTTTACTTCATGCATCATTTTGAAACCTATTGATTCGACAAGAATAGAATATTTGATTATTTTTATTTTATAATAAAAGAGGGCAAACGAGCGACGTGAACACTAAGGTGATTATGATGATATGGGATAAAAAAAGACTATATATGATCATTGGCAACGATCACTTGATATAACGTTTATCGATTGGTTTTCATATCTATTTATAATATTACCTGGGCGGCCTCTCTGTTGTCAGGTTGCGGCTGTCCGTAGCCACCAGTGTAGGACCAGTCGCCGGTGTTGCGCTGCGTTGTGGGGCCGATCTTGGCGCCGGAGCCGGACCAGAACCAACCGTTCACGTTGGGCGGCTGCAGATCGGCCCGGTCGCAGCCGGCGAAGTTGCATTTGCGACCCGACGTCCAAATGTAGCGGATGTTACCGCGCGCGATCCTTTGTTTGACAAATTCATTTTCCTGGGGAAAAATAATGTTATCAATTAATTAATAAAAATCAATTCGAGTAGAACTATATCTTTACCTCAAAGTTAATTCATCAAAATAATTTTAGTGAAAGCCCTAGTATCCAGAGTGGGTTTTTAAGGGATGAAATCATAACAAACATACGTATTTATAAGCTCTATACCTACTTAACTAACGAGATTACTTGGTGTAATGATAATCTACTAAGATATTTTCTTCGGCCTACATAATAAAGTAACGCGTTGCCAATTAGTAGAGCAGCGATGGTGTTAATGACGTCGGGGACAGGAAGTGCGCGTCTGCATGCGTCGCGTTGTATCGCGCAAGAAGTGGAATGTGTGCCGCGGCCACTTGCCGAGAACTGACGCACTAGGCCATTGCACCCCTTTCACAGACGCCTCCACGCTCTACAAACCCGATCGACCTACTCGCCGATCGACAATCCTAATACATATTGATGTTTAGCCATAATTAGACCCGCGTCGCATATTAAGTCTATCGACCCATACCGGACATCCATACTGCGTACCATACATCCATGCGATCTTTATACCTGTGCTACAATTTTTAAGCACGGCAAAGTGCAATTTGTTAGTTCTAAAATTAAATATTATTTCAGAATTAAGCTTTTAACTATTTCGAGAATTACAAAACAAAAATAATAACAAGTTTCATAAAGTGGAATGGATAATACTGAAAGCTCGATATCTAACAATGGATGTACCAAAGTATAGGAAGCAACATGTGACTTGTACAACCTGTTTATGATTTTCCGCATGTAAACATACCCGGATAGAAGTGTTAACAATGGAGACGAGTGTTAGTCTGAATGAGTTCATTCATTTACAAAAAATACGGATACATTTGTAACGAGCATCTATTGTGACTAAATAATAAAAAAAACTGTGTTGCATAAGAATCATCTTTTTGGCACCATTGTAGATTGCCAAGAGTATACTTTGAAAATTATTTTAGGCAATCAGCCTTGATCTTTGTACCTAGTTTTAGTTTTGATAAATTTAACCAGACAGTTTCCAAACTGTGTTCATGATTGCAAAACATCACTTGTGTTTGGCATTACAAGATGCATCATTTTAATAATGGGAAAGTGAATGCATCAACATAAATTACCGTGCGATGTCGACAAGTGATTTTGTGAGAGAAATGATCTGTCGTTTAAACGATATTCTGTCATAATGTTAATGTGTCAAAATTGCATTTGAACGTTTAACTTACGTAAAATTGTATTACGTAGGTTCTATATTATAAACTTTATTTCTATTAGTATATCGATCGTTAGAAACATTCGTTAATATTTTGCTCAAGTATATTAGTTTTAACATAATAAGGTTATAAAATAAATAAAAAAGCCTCGGCACCGAACTGACTTCCGTTTTGTTTTAACATAAAATAAAAATGATATGGTAGAATATTCGATTACCATAAATTTCGCATCTCGTATGTTCGTGCGGCGGAGAAACACTTTCCATAAGATTTTTAGCAGTTACATGACGTAACTCAACAATGACACACCGGCGAGCCGCGGGGAATATTCCGATCTTTATTGAGGTCCACTTTCTACGGCGTGCACGATCTTATGCCAATACCATAAATATTTCAAACTTTAACTACCATTACCCTACACAGATAAGACTAATTTGATAAATAAATCATTTACAATGTAAATAAGAAAATTACATGTTACTAAATAAAAGTTCCGTTTTCCTAAAGTTTTATAATTGTTGGAAAATCCTTACTTTCAGTGAGACCAATAGATGAACCGGACAGACTATCATTGACTAATTACTTTCAATTCCACATAAAGGATATTCAATAATAGGATACATAGCTAAATAAAGTTAAGTAAGTAAATATAATAAGATTCTCGAGGTAAGTCGGAGCTAAGTTTATCGTAAATACGTAAGCTAAGTTTACTAACACACGGTAGAGGTAATTCTCGCTTAATACAAATGTATTTACATGGATGGAGATCCTTTTAGGTCAATACTTAATCGTTAAGTAACTTAACTAGTACTTTGAATACATATCCAACAGTCATCAGTACATAAACAGTACAAAGTTATTTAGATTTTAATATTGAAACTATTTAAATACGTCACCCCAAAAGCCTTATTATCATAACCGGAACCTGAGTTAAATATAAAAGTTCTTCGATCGTTAAAAAAAATAGAAATACACACATAGACGTTGACTTGTAAAACTTTATTACATTTTTATATTTTGCTTTGCTGTGCAAGTGCATCTTTAAAGGCGGTCATTCAACTGTGAATGACACTTGCAATATGCCTCTATACATAATTCTGCAATATAAAGACCTGTGTAGAATCACGTTTGCGGTCGCACCCGATGGTTTATCTCGTTATTCCTGTAACTACCAGTGCTCACTTCGAATAGGAATACAGTGCTGCTTGTGTTGGTTAGCAGCGCATATACTAAGCAGTGTTGTTTTGTAAGTAAATGAATTCTATAGAGCTTGTATATGTAAAAACTATTTGTTCGTTATTTTCAGATTCATTGAGTTGCCTCCCTTAGTAAAGATTTAGTATGAGAATTCTACCCTAAGGTGCAATAACTCCTGAATACGTTTGTGAAAGGCAAGAAAAAGTAATCACACTTAAAACTTAATAACATAAAGATTTTCTTTAATTTTTTTAGCTATGCTTTCTTGTCTATATAAAATATTAAAATTACCTGAGGAGTCTCTAGGGAGACGGTGTCCATGCAATGCCTGCGGCAGATGTTTCTTGCGTCGAGCCAGTCTACCTCGAGACTGCGTGTGGGCGCGTGTTCCCAGCTCATGAAGTAAGAGTGCAGCACGCCGCGACCGTCCCGGTACGTCGCGTGACGGACCCCTGTAACACAACATTTTGTTAGAAAAGCGAATAAGTGGTATATAGAAGACCTATTTGGATATCATATCGCCCGCATCTGAATCGATTCATCCCAAATCAATCATCGAGGTACCTACTTATAGCTTCGACGGATAGAAAAGGCAAATAAATTAGTAAAACATTAACATGTTCACCATCTCTTAGATCTCTTAGGCCCTAGAACATTGTCAAGCTTAGTCAACGTATGTTGCACTATTTTTTATAAGTAAAATAAAATCAAAAAATCCCTTTGGTTATAACGTAGAAAGCGTCAAAGATTACATCAACAAGATTGGTGACAAACAAAAAAGGGATTCGGATCAACCGAAACTAATAAGTGTGACTAAAATAAATATTAAAAAGCCCGAAATTGGAAACAACATTTTGTATTTCAGAGTAAATTGCTGAGTCGTTTTGCGGTAGATATCATAATTTTCTTCGTGTTGCCAGTATGAAAATCTAATCAAAGATATTAAAACATATTGTTACCAGTCACAATAGACTCCTTACGAAATGTTACCTACATATTCGAACATTTTAGCACTTTACACAACACTACTTCTCATTCATGTGCTGCTTCTCACGACATATTATAATAATGTGTTAGTATTATGACTAAAATCTTTTTAACATATTTATTATTATTATTCACATTACGAAGACAGTAGGTAAAACATCTCTTATAAAATACTTTCCGAATCTTTATAGTACAACAAACAGAGTCGAAAGTGCAAACAAATATCGACATATGTAAAAAGGGTAAGTATATCTTAATGCATATCTTGAGTCATCGTCACTAGCTCACTATAAGTTTAAGTTAAGGGGTGACTAGGCCATAGTCAACCACGTTGGCCCACAGCGGGTTGGATGACTTCACACGTATCTCTTAATTTCTTGGGCGAAATGTGCAAGTTGCATCACGATATTTTCCTTCACCGCAAGAACGTCAGGTAAATGTACACGTGAAATCCAATATTATATTGGTATAAGGCGGTATTCGAACCCAGGATCTGCATATAACAAATCTAGGAATTAACAACAGAGCTACCAACGTTCGATCTCTTGAGTACCAATTGTTATAAAGTATCTTCCCATCATAAAACCTACTACTACCTTGTTACCGTGTGACGTATTAAAGAATGTAACCGTTCGCTAAAAACTGACACTTTCACGCTTAATTAGGATAATAGCTTAATAACTAGATGCAATCAAGCAGTTCATAGACTTTGCAATGAAAGGCTCCCACAGTTCGCGACGTGAAGCACACAATTAAAACAAGTTCACCGGCAGGTCGTGCAATTGAACAGGTCTTACGTAACTAGAAAGTAGCCGTCGGCTCAATTTAGGACTACCTTCGCGGCTCGCACATCTATAGGAAATATTTGACATGCAAAATTGAACAACTTCCGGGAATTATTTTAAATGCACATTTAGCATTAAATAGATGGGTATGGCAAAGATTCATGTTATTCGTTCAACTAAAAATTAAAATAACCCATGCACACACAAAAGGAAGTTCGAGTGAAGCAATCTATATATTTTAAAGATACGATTGTAAGTACCGAACTTTGCAAACATACTCTCTAAAATAATACGTTACCTTCGGAACCCAGTGCGTATTGGACATGTGTCGTCATAACGTTTCATTTCAATAGAGAAAGTCGTGAGCAAAATGTTGTTAAAATAGTTTCCCTTCTTCGTCTATTACGTACTTGTTATACAATAAATCATCGTGATTTCTACTCCTAAATATTTATTTATATTTGCCGGAAATAACTGCTTGCTAAAAATTAAAAATATAATCGCATCATATATGTAGATTGCAAATGGATCCATAATAACATAAAATTTTATGTCTGGTGTTAATGTTACGTGAAAATAATTTTACTTTTTAATCAATTTTAGTGCTTCTATATTTAGTTATGTGACCAACCACAAAATATCGTAATACCACAATAATACTGTTATCGTATTGTGCATGGTCGCACCTTGTAATCAAGCGTCGTATTTGCTGTTCAACCGAAATGCTTTACGCTTGCTATGTAAGGTAATCCTTGATACGAAGAGGATCCAACTTAAAAATTACTTGTTAAAGCCTTATATTGCAAAACAACGAAATATTACATACAGTTAGAGAACAAGTTATAAATTAAACATGAGTGACATTAAAATGAATATGTTCTAGATCGTAAATTTGATAAAAGATAGTGTTGTCGAGATCATCCTATATTATTACAATGATCTGATGTCCTCATTCTGGCGCAAACCGACGTGAGTAATGCGACTGCGCAACCAAACATGTTATTTACTGGCGACGTACTAAAACTTATACTTGAATAGAGTTTAACAAAAGCTCTTTATTGTTATTGTTCGGTTGTCGGTCGATTGTGCACATCCGTTCGCTCCCACATGACCTGCTTAGCTCAACCGCGCCCCGACACACTGTTGCGAAAAATTGCAAGGACTCTTTATTCTGGATATTGACAGCGAGGAAGAACTAAGAAAGTGTGGATGAATCGTGTAGTGTCTAAGCAAGAAATTAATTCAGATACTAGGGCTGTTCGAGATAGTAACTATACGAGATAAGTATTACTATTTGTGCCAACCCTTCATAGGAAAGCGGGGAGGGTGATGTTGATGATAGATGAACATTAGAATAATTACAAAAAACTCTTATGTAGAAGTAGATTTTTGAACTAGGCTGGGTAGCAGCAGTTAAAGTATGGACAAACTAGTTAAGTAATATTCTTTTTCAATTATCGATGAAGTAATCAAAGCTACCAAGTTACTTATTTTATTTTTTTACCGCCAAATATCGTGGTGACCTTGACATGTGGGTTAATAAACGGAATCATTGTGCTCTAAGTTTCTAACGTTAGTTTGACCAGGACAGGACTACGCTTTCACAGGATGCGGTGGTAAACAGCAGTGCGTGATGTTTGATAATGAGACTTTCTAATTAACTTCTAATAATATATTACGCGAGCATCGCTATAGGACGACCATCGACCACAATTAGGTCATTATACTTACGTAGAAAACGTAGATAGTGTGCAGAGTAGTGTAACCGAATAAAGGGTTAAAAAAATCATAAATATTTCTATTTCTTAATCCTCATTATGCGTGTGAAGTCACCATGTGTAAGTGAACGTACATATTGTATTGGCACATCTTAATGTTGGGGTCGATTTCTGTTAGGGCAATTAGCCAGCAAGGTGAGCCTGTTGGCTGCAGCTCTCGCGTTAGAAAGGACGAGCATCTGTGGTTGCGACCATGTGACCATCACACAACCGTGTTAAAAAACCGTCGGACCTTGGCTGAATAACTGTGATATGTTTCTAGTGCATTCTATTTTTTTTTAACTCTTAGTTATAAGCATCAGGTCAACACAGAAATAGAAGTGGACAAATTTAATGAGGTATCCAACGTTATTTCGAGTTTTGATTGTTGATATGCAAAAAGATATAAAACTAAATTAAAATTTGCAAATTAAATTACATAAACCAGTTACGAAACAGAACTCATTTTCATATTCATATTTTTACTACCATAAGTGAAAAAAAAAACATTTCTGTCAAGAAATCTCACTTTTTTGGCTTAAAATAAACGTTACTTAAAATAATATGAGTTTTACTTGCATTTATTAATTTTCACCCTTAAGTTGATTTGAAAGTTTTTATATCTGAATAGAGTAGATTATTTCCAAATACGTTTTTAAAATTAAAATGGCAATATGTAATCAGCAACTACTACTTAACCTATATGTTATTAGAACTGGTTATTGGTGTCTCATGAGCTAATAACAACTTTTGTTATCGAGGACTATTTGTTATTATAAGATACAATCTTTATATCTTAATAACTTCTAACTAACATGTAGGCAGTTATTCCATTACAGCACGAGGAAAGCAAGCGCATAGACTTGCGTTCAGTTCAAATCCCACCATTGCCTTAAATTTTATTATGCGCAGCTTCTTGTCAGAAATTACGAATCACTGTAATGTATGATGGCTCTATAAAACTGGTAGGGTCAAAGCGATACGTACTGTTGGCGCAACTCTTGGGGTCCGGCAGGGCCAAGCGACGCTGCGCATCCGCATAGCAGAACAGAGCCAGCAGCGCGGCTGCCAGGCAAACTTTACGACTCATCTGCACAACAACAATAAACGATTGTTAATAAACAAACAAATAAAAACAGCAATTATGGCACTCTGGTTAAGTCACTCGTTGCAATTTGCAAGTTGCAAGGCAATTAAATGGATAAAAAGATAGATATTGTTTTTAGCATTTACACACGAGTTATCGGATCGGACACGGATTACATTTGGGGTACTTATCATCTTTTTAAGCACCTTGGTATGCATTTGCCCTAAGGTCCATAACAAGTCCCAACTGACACTGCATGGCCGTTTATTAGTTCGCTTTCTTTTATGCAGTCCATGAACGGCCGGAACAATCGATACGTGAGATGAATTTATTTTGTTGTGTTTGTGAAAGCAACGCTCGCCGCCGCCGGCGCAGTTGGCGCTGACCCGCTTGTCGCGAGCTTGAGCGTTTACGTGAAAAGGTGTCGACTTCTAGAAATCGTCGATTTGGGACGCATTTTATTGAAGGTGCGGAAAGCTCACGTAAATATAATATCGAAAGGGAAATAGCTTATCGTGTAATTTGTTGTATTTTTGAAATTAAATATTTGGTGGTATAAAGAAAATATGATTCTCGCTTTTAATTCTATGTTTAATTCTGTTTAATGTTTAATAATCTGTTTAATCTGTTTAATGTTAAATAATCTAAAATAATGTTTATATTAAAAAGCTTAAAATAAATAACAAAATATTCCCTAACGTTAGGCACCGAAGAAAAGTTTAAAATTTTACTTACTATCTTTTTGCAATATTTTTTATGAGATTTGTTTGTGCACTTTAGTGAATTGGTACAGTTGGTGTTTGTGATGTTCACTGTTGGAATGCGAGTAGTAAATGCACGTGCGTGGTGCGTAGAGCGTACCTCTGTGTGTGCACGTTGGACGGTTGTGGTGCGTTAGTAGTAGTGGTTGCGGAGGCTTGCGGGATCGGAGCGCGGCCAGTGATCGCGGCGGTTAGCGGGCAACTGCCGCCGGCGCACCCGTCCTCTCTAATTAAGCCTCCGACATTCATTCACTTTCACTTCCAATGTAAGAGAAGATACGCTCCACCCCGCCTCGCTGCATAGAACTCACCCGTGCAGCATCGGAGACCTTCTGGAGGTCACAGCCGGAAACTAACGACGATTTACATAACCCATGCGTGAGCACGAGCTCGCTAATCGTCGTCGGCTTGTCTTGACCGTAAACAAATTCATTATTTTTTTAATAAATTGCCGTAACGTAACTACACATGTGTAAAACTTTTACTTTATCAATCGATCTTGGATAATTTTTGTCTTTCTCACAATTATTATTAATTTGTAAAAGGAAGAGCAACAAGTTGTTTACATAACACGCTCACATTCAAATAATTATTGTTTTGCTATAAAACAAACACAAACATTCGTGTTACACACAAAAATTTGTTTAGAAAACAAAAAGCGGATTGTAAATTTTTCAGCCAATATCCTATGCCAGTGGCAAATACAATGATTTCCTTCTCCGTCCGTCTACTCTGTATTGAGAAGCAAATAATAGGGCCGGTGAAATCGCACAGCGAATTTAAACATAGTTATCATTACAGAAGATCGAAGTACCCAACTTTAGATCGTGGAAGAATATAAACGTATTTAAAGGCTTGACATTTTAAAGGTAAAGTCTTGAATCTAGGTCTAGAGTCCTTGGTAATCTTTTTTTTAATACTAAATTCTCAAGATTTCTGGTAAAGTCAACGTCTCGATAGGGTATATGATACACAGCGATCGCCTGCGACTTCGTCAGTGCGGAATTCAAAGAAAAAGGTTGTCGAAAACATTCCCTCGTGCATTAGCTAATGGTGGTGGTAGCTACCACCCCCTCAAAGTCACTCAAGCAGTCAGTCCGGAGATTTGCTACAATCTCAAAACATCATTTCCGATCCCTTGTAGTGTAGGTATGGTATTTTGTTTTCTTTAACTAATGTCAGGTAAAATTAGACATCCGCGTTTGCCGTTAATCTGTCTACCCGTAGGGCCGAGCAGGCTGTACCTCCAACGTCGCTTATTTAATTTTTGCATTTTGTATTCATCATAACATGACTTTGTCTTCCATCTATCCCAAGCTAAGTGCTCCTAGTAGCTTCTCATAATATGATTCGTTTTCAAATCAGTTCCGTTTACTTTGTTTTACCAGAATTACAAATACTTTGCCATGAAGTAGTTATTTATTGATACCTCGTCTAGTGGTCAGTAGAAGGGTAAAACGCAAAGATCAGTACTATAAATGCAGTCGGCGCTAAAATTTGTGCAACAAATAGATGTGCAGGTGTGACGCAACCGGCGGGAGTCTGTGCGAGGTCAGACGATCGTCGGTCTTCTGAGATAATATAGGATAACCACTAGTGAAAGTCACATAACTAAATTGTTTTCTGTGTTAAACATTCAAATTTATTCCATTTGATGTATATTCGTCTGTGCATTGTTAATTATTCCATGCAGGAAGAATACTAGTATTGAAAATAATACTGTACGGTAATAAGTGTAGGTATACTTAATGTAGTGACAGATTATAAACTGTAAAAAATCAGACTTCGGAAATTACTATACCACGCGCTGTCTAAATAATCCTTCGATTCAAGGTTGAAGACATCACGTGATTTGTGTCAGGAGGTCTCAGCTTCATTGCCAATTCCAAACATTCACGTGTGAACTTTTACCAATTTCGCTACAATAGGTACTTAAGAATTAACAAAGTCGTAGAAGAAATTCCAATCCAAATAAACGGACCTATAAATCAGCACATTGGGACAGCTTATGCTCTACAATTATTTTTTGTATGTGTAATGTAGGTGTGTTATTGAAACGGCGGTTGGTACTGGACTAATTTATTATGCATAACTCTCATATATATACTACAGTATGTTCATATACATAGTAGGTACTTGAACATTTAAATTCTCCAAATGTAAAAAAATACATAGAACATTTTTTTTTTATTTCTGACATAAGTATTGATAACTTCAATTAGAATATCATTACGCCATCTCATAACATAACTGTCTTGATCGATCAAAGATATCAATACCGTTATTAAACAAACGACATGATTCACCCCGTTTATAGATTACATTTTTAAATTCAGCTCATTGTATTATTATGTAAGTTATAAGGTGCAATTTGCAAAAGTGATACATGAGTTTCTGAATGTATTCAATATATTTCAGTTACATCAATGACCCCGCGATACCTGTGACTTAGCAACTTTACTGTTCATCTACCGCGTGTTTGATGTCCCACTATAATACCTACTAACTACTTACTTCTGATCTATATCATTTTATTATCTAAACAAATTATTTAAATTGTTGTTTGTGATGTTTGACTAGAGTATTTACGTTATTTTATCATAACTACTAATGTTATAAATGTGAAAGTTTAAATGGATGGATAGATGTTTGTTACAGTTTGTAGTCCAAACGGCTGAACGGATTTCCATGAAATTTGGTATGGATGTCTTAGTTAATTAGTCTGGAACAACGCATAGGCTACTCACTTTCGGTTTTTTTAATTCCACGGGGACGGAGTCGCGGGCGAAAGCTAGTTTATCATAAATCAAGTTTACTTAATTATGTTTTTATGTATTTGGGTCCATTTCTTTGTATAATAAAACCTTAAATCTTTTTCAAGGCATTCTGTTTTGAACATAAGTTCTTATGAATAAATGTTTTTATTTGAAAAAAAAAAATGTTATGAAGTTCAGACGATTCAAGTTCGTAATTTTTTTTAGCGAGAAAATAAAAAGTGGGAAACATAATTCTTATTTATTTATAAAAAAAATCAATGAATCATTCACTCTAACTAAGCCGTAAACCACAAATAAGAAGCTACGCTTCATATTTTAAAAAAGCAGGAATTGTAACCATCGAATGAACTCTGCAATGACCGACCATTAGCAATTTTGTCGTATTACATAACCTTCGACATTTCGATAACGACCGTTTTATAGACATTCTCTCAGTTCTCAATTCAATCTGCCTTTCTAAAGGAAAATATTATTTTAGTAAACAAAACAATTTTTTTGTTCAAGTTGCCCACATTGGTATTGTATTAAAAGAATGTTTTTCATTAGTAGCTATAGGTAAACTAATTTAGATGATTTGAACTTGACTGTAACTGATTATTGGTAAAGAACCCTTGTTATGAATATAAACCTTTCTACCTACCTTCTGTGTAATTAAATTAAAGCTTTGCTATCTTGTCAAATAAGTGATTGTTTTCTTCTATCTTAAATTTAATATTTTGTAATACTTGATGTGATGATGGTGATTTTGATCGAGCTATGTTAATATACTTTTTGTTACATTGAGAATGAAGAATGTATAAAAGCAATGTTGTTCTTTTAGCACTTTGTTTCACAAATTTAAAGCAATTTAATGAAACCCTATAAAATGTGTACGCAAAATTTGGTACGTTATATAATATAACATCGCTAGTATGTATTGTTATATAATAACAATTTAACGGCAAACCGTTGCAAATTTCAACTGTCGTCGGTCCATATATTAAATGCATTTGTTTGTTAAATGGTCCATTAACACAACCGAGTCGAACGCGCATATATTTATGACATGTGTGAAAGTTCGTGCACACGACATCGGCGCGGCCGGTGGCCGGTATGCCGGTGTGTTCGCAAGCTAACGCCCGAGCCTTGCGACCAGGCCGTCATTTTCTGCGGAAGAACCCTCCATAATTGTTTTCTCGTAAGGCCGTTTCACCGTACGTTCTGATCTTAACAACCTAAACCTACCATAACACATGTTTACTCCCTCCGAAAGTGTGAAAGTATTTGACTTGTGAGTAACTGTTCACACAGAGTTCGTTTCTTGTTAATGATTTTGTCATTATGTAAAATGTATCCACTAAGTGATGCAACAAGAAATTTTACAATAACAAACAAAATATTTCATAATGCCTTCTCCCCCTTTTCTATTGTTACAGTAATATATAATCGATATCGAAGTAAACTAGTTTAGTAAAAAAAATATACCGACGAATTGAATACCTCCTTCTTTTGGGAAGTCGGTCAAAAAGAAAAACAACTATCAGCAAAAAAAAATTTAAGTCAATAAATATTTAAGATTTTTTTTTGTAATTTCCAATTTCAAAACACCTATGCATGCGTTCCCTCACTTGGGAACTCGGTGATTTCTTGAATTAACAAATGGTAACACATTCCCGTTGAAACGCGATAATTCATAATTATAAATTATCGCGTTTCAAATCGAAAATTTCAAATGGAATTTCTGGAGCCCCTGCTTTTTCTCCGTGATAAAAAATTTCTCACTTTCAAAAAAAACTCTACCTTCCTCTACTTTTAAACACTTTCACCGTGTTTTTTTTTTTCAAATGAATAACATTAAAAAAGCGTTGTCGGATGCCATATGATCCATGTATATTGTACATGTTAGTCTTGGGTAGTACACGCACGATGTACTAAAAAGTAATGTTACTTGGCACTGTACTAAAAGTAAAGTTATCGAACGACTTCTGGTAATCGGACATTTGGCACTTTTAGTACAGTACTACACGATATCGGTGTTCGCTTCTTCGTTGTTTGATTTGATTGTGTATTTGCTAGATTGAAGCATGCTTAAAATTTTATGTAAAGTAATCTATAACCCTCGTTATATTCTATTCATGTTATTGTGTTCTCAGAAATCTGAAGTGCTAAAGGTACTAAAAGTGTGTACTAGTACGTTTTCCCAATTGTATTGTACTAGTACGGTGCGCACTTGCAGACTAATACATGTATAACGCCGCAAAGATATTATGGCCATGAATGTAATCAGTACTATGTACAACAGGAGTGTGTTATATCTGTGCGTCTTACAGTTAAAATAAAGAAAATGAAACCTTATCCTAAGGTCATAAGAGTCTTGTTGCATGCAAAAGTTAAACTGAACCCGAGTGAGAGGTCTACAAGTGTTCGATATTTCCCTTTCTAACAGTGACGTAAAGTTGCCAGATATGAATCCTTTCGTTGTTTGTAAAGAAATACGCAATTGATGTAATGTAATGCAGTAAAAATTTAAAGATTTATTTATAAAGTTACAAAATTTCTTTTAATACAATTGTGGTCGATCGCCTGGTTCCTACACTAGGCTCTAGGCCCGTCTTGTAGGAGCCAGGGTTCTTCCGTCTTAGTGCTAGTCTTTTTTTTTTTAGAACACTAATATAAATCTAAACAAATTTACAATAAAAAAGGTTGTTTGTTGAATTCCAAAATTACTATGATGCGTGTGTTAGTGTGTGTGTGATTTCGTATGTGTATATGCGCTAATGTGTAATTATGTAATTTTATGTATAATAATTATACAAATGTAAGGATTTAAGGTTCTATATGGGAGGAACAATGAAAAAATAATTACTTTCAAAATGTTTCTAAATGTTAATAATAATTTATTACCGACAGGTTAGATCAATTTTATTTGTTGCTACATGTAAAACTTTATTAACGCAAATAATTTGCGATAGGCATAGTTTTTCTTTTATTTGCTTTAAATTCGAACACCTAAACTGACAACACCGCATGACATCGCCGAATCGGACTTAAATGGCGGCGTTTTTTGAAATCCGTAATATTTTTTAATTTCATTGTTAAAATGGTGAGAACCTGTGTCGTGAAGCCTTGCGGAAGCGAGTATTATCCTGATTGGAGTTTATCTTTTCATAGGTATTGGTTTTAGGCATGATTTGTTAGTGATGAATAACGGTGACCATGCATGACTATCGAGTCATAGACATCCTGAGAATGATTGAGAGATTCATCAATCAATTTGACTCGATTATCGATTTCAGGATTTCAAATACTTTTTACAGAAAAAGTAAGAACTCTCAAACGATGTTCCTTTCCTATAAATCTCTCTTAGGTCACCATTTTTTTTTTTAATTTTTGTCCTAAAATCATATTTCAATATGGTCACCATGGCCAGAGAGGGAAAAACGTTACAGTTTTTTAAAGGTCTCGCTCAGCTTCAATTTTTCGATAAGAGCTATCCTGTTCTCGTAGAACGTCCATGATTTTAAATAATTTGGAAATATAACCTGTGCAATATTTTCTCTATGCCATGTTCTAACTCTATAGTCTTTGAATTTTATATCTATGTTAAAACATCATTTCTTTCTTTTCGTATTGCACTCTGCTAATTCAGAGTTACTCCCTTTTTACTTGCCTTAATTTCATTAATAATGGCAGATAGTAAGCTATACGATATCCTAGGTGTTTCCAGAAATGCAAGCGAATCAGAAATAAAACGGGTAAGAATAAATTAATCCACGTTAGCTATTGTTAATTACATGCTGGGACAAAGGCAGATTATGGTTGAACATAATGATTGGCTTCATCGCTCGGACATGGTTTTGAAATAGATAATTTGTGTTTTTGCAGAATTACCACAAATTAGCAAAAGAATTCCATCCAGACAAAAATCCGGCTGCAGGAGATCGTTTTAAAGAAATAAGTTATGCATATGAAGTTCTATCCGACCCGACGAAAAGGAAAACTTACGACAAATTTGGATTAAAAGGGTTACAAGAGGGAGGACAGGGCGGTGGTTTGTCTACCGATGACTTACTCGGCCATATCTTTGGTGATATGTTTGGCATGGGCGGTGGCAGCCGGGGCCGAGGGCGCGCTCGTGGAGAGGATACTATACATCCACTCAAAGTAACTTTAGAGGACATGTATGTGGGAAAAACTGCTAAATTGCAGCTGAGCAAAAATGTGATTTGCGGCCCATGTAAGGGTATAGGTGGCAAACCAGGTGCAGTTGTATCTTGCAGAGATTGTCATGGACACGGTATTAAAGTAACGTACCAAGAAGTTGCGCCTAATATGACTCGGCAGTATCAAACGCGTTGTCCTACGTGCCTAGGGCTTGGGGAAACCATTAGTGACAAGGACAAATGCCCAAAGTGTAAGGGAAAGAAAGTGTCGAATGAGATTAAGATCTTGGAAGTACATGTTGAGAAGGGTATGAAAGAAGGTCAGAAGATCTTCTTCCGAGGTGAAGGTGACCAGCAACCTAATGTACAGCCCGGTGATGTCATTATTATTTTGCAACAAAAGCCTCATGATGTGTTTCAGCGAACCGGAGATGACCTTATAATGAAACATGACATAACATTGACTGAGGCTTTGTGTGGGTTCCAATTTGTGGTACAGCACTTAGATGGTCGTGAGCTACTTGTTAGACACCCTCCTGGTGTTGTCATTAAGCCTGGTGATTTAAAAGGTATTCAAGGGGAGGGCATGCCACAATATAAGAATCCCTTTGAGAAAGGAAATCTCTATGTGAAGTTCAACATTGTATTCCCTGAAAACAACTTTGGTACTGAAGAACAACTGAACAAGATTGAAAGTATATTGCCACCACGGCCAGCCTTTGTTATGCCAACTGGGGAAGATGTGGAGGAAGTTAACATGATGGAGTACACAGCAAGTGAAAGAAGCCGTGGCCGTGAGGAGGCCTATGCCAGTGACGATGAGGAGACAATGCATGGAGGTCCTGGCATGCAATGTGCCCATCAGTAGCTTAATATTTGTGTATCCTGATTAAAGGATTTTTACTCAGACCTCACATGTAATTTTATCACATTAATTCTAGGTAGTTAATATTATTGAAACATTTTGAAATACTAGACTTTTTTAGTGGCCAGCCAAGTGATAAATTATAAAGAGATTTTAACAGATTGTTCTGGATCAGCTTTGCAGGCTTGGCAAGGTTTTCTATTTCATCTTGTTTGTTTTTGGTTCAATTAATGTAATTCATTCCACAACCATTGCACTGTTTGTTTTTGTATTCTTTTATGAATGCTACCTATAATAAATATGAGTTATTATAATTGTGTAATGATTTTAATAGGATTTTAAAATATGCATAATGGTATAGGGCATGTAAATAATACAAATTGTTTCAGGTAGCAATAAATTTAATATACTGCTTGTGACCGGCAATTTTTTTATTTATTATCTCATACAGTTTTTGTAGAAAGAATACAAATGCGTGTTTGTAGACAGAATTTCAAAAAAGTCAACTATCCAGTAGAAAATTATCAATATACTATGTATCAAAGTCATGTCTTGTATTTAAATGTGCAAGTCATTTATTAATTGGTTTAATGCTAATGTTTTATCTTCATACACACATACACTACCAACTCTGCAAACTACAACTATTAGGTAAATAAGAAAGATGATCAAAGACAAAAACTGTATTTAATCTCAAAATAATTTAAAAATAATACACAATTACTAGTTTTGGACTAAAACAGATTCTAATGATACAAAATATTTTTTAAAGTCCTTTCTACTTCTAGATACTGTATTTAAATTAATTTCTTTCAGGCCTAAACTTCTCAGTTTCTCAAGGCGTTGTTGTACAGTCTTCTGAGATGCAATTAATACTCTAGGTCTCCTTGCAATATCTTCAATAGTAAATCCTTCACTAATCAGGAAATCCAAAAATGACTTTAGCTGAAAATTTATTTGTAATTTAAATGACAGCATGATGATAATATAAAAATGATTTCCATGGTTTTCATACATTTTATTTTTGTATAAACATACCTTAGTTACTCTAATAGTTCTTAGTGCTGGCACTTTTTCACACATTTCTTCCACATACTTGGGAGAAACATTCAATCTATTTGCTAAGTACAGTTGTGTAGACTGGTTTTCACCAAGAATGGTTTTTGTCTCTTTTAATATTTCAATATACCTGTTGCAGAGGACAAAAACAGAATACTGAATAAAGGTTTCTCCTTTTAAATTCTTAACACACTAAGATGTGTAATATGTGAATCAAGATCATAGAGAATAAATAAGGCTTAACAATTTCCACATAGCAAGCTATTCACTATGCCAATGTCAAAATAAAAAGAAAAATAACAACAAATTACTTGCCTATTTAAAATTTGCTCCGTACATCTTACCATCCATGGATACAGAGTTTCCACTCCCATACTTTTGACTTTCTGGAGTCTTTCCTGAATAGTTTTAGGGTGATATTTTAGAACCCATAAATCTCTCAATATACGTTCAGAACTTACTTCCATATCTAAAAGGATTAAAAAGGTATTTATGTTTTAGACACATTTATGAATACAAAAATTTTATTTTTGTATTACTTACCCAGTAAAACATTCAAAGAGCTTTCAAGCCAGTCAAATGGTAAGTTATAAATAAAAGTCCTTTTAGCTAATGATTCCCTTAACATATCTGGACGACACTGAAATCAAGAAAATAGGTATTAAGTAGTTAAAATAATGGTTTATATAATATATTTTTATAGACACTTTAAGAGATATAAGATTTTCTTACTTTAAGTCGAGATGATATATAATACAATCTGTTTTTACAAAAACCCATTTTCTCATCACTTTTTGTACAATTGTAAATTTGTAATAGGCTCCTAGTGGGCAATTTGGAAAAAGGAAGTGCATCTTCTTCAGATAAGTTTAATTTTGAAATAAGTTTAAGTTTAGATGTATCAAAGTCTCCATCGCCCGAATCACTTCTGTGTACTTTGTGTGTTTTGTGCCTTTGATCAATTGTTGACCAACTATTACAGGATTTTATAGTTAGAAATTTGTTTTCTATTAAAATGTTTCGAAAACAATGATTATGTATTATAGTAAAAGTTGAATAAATATATTTAGGGTATCTTGAGAAAAGGCTTGCCATAACGGTTGCTTGTAGATGTCAATTTAATAATATTTACAATATAAAAATCGAATCTTATAGCATTACAATACATTGTTTTACATTACATGATGCATTTTTATCAATTATCAAATGTTTGATTTTGTCATATGTCAGTAGCACTGACAGCTGACAATGACTGTTCGCATGCACAGACTATAGTTATGTTTCGAGTTTTTAGAGTAAGCATGTAAGCGATGCGGATCTCAAATGGGACTTCGAATAGAGATTTCGAAGAATTCAGAAGTCGCCGATTAATGTATCGTTGATCTAGGGTTTCAAATCAAAATAGTGCAAAGTAAACTATCAGTATAGTAATGTTTTGGAATTACAAACAAGACTTATTGTATTATTTATTTATTCTGGTTATTTTTAAATATTAGCACTCTCGTTTTCGTATCATTAAAATGAAACTTATATGCCATACATACATTTTATTACAGATGAAGCGAGAACAAAACATTCATTTATATAAACTAAACATTTCTATAAATCGATCAGCGATCGACGCTATCTCTTCGCGATTTCCTTTTGCGCGGTGTTTCGCGATCTCTTTCATCGTGATATCTAGAACTGCGACCATCATCATGTCTTGAATTCCTAGAACGAGATCGTCTTCTTTTTGGTGATGGGTCTCTTTCAGGAGATTCCGACCATCTCCATGATCTCGGCGGTGTTCTTCGTATTCTAAATACATTGAAATATTTAATAGAGAGGACATTGTATAAGGCTTAGGTTTTTTATTCATTTCTTGCTGATTTGATTACAACATTATTGTCAGTAGCGTAATAAATAATTAGTAAAGCAGTAAAATACCTGTTACGGTGACCATTATATCCAGAAAACAAATCTTTAGGGTTTCTGAATACATGCAAGTAGTTGCAGCCTCGACCTTTGGGACAGCGTTTTTGTGGATGCAAGCCTGAAATTTTTTACCTCTTAATTATTTTAAGGTTTAAGACTGCTAGCTTAACAAAAAATTAACAAGTTTAACTTTTATATGATAGTACCGATAAAAAAACATACCACATATTGCATAATCCCAAGACTTTATTACACAGAATTGTAATGACAGCTGTCTGCCGCCATACCAACGTGAATGTAGACCTTGGTAAGCGGCGACGGCACTTCGCAAATCTCTAAATTCTACGTATGTGTTTCCTCTCAGATGTTTCTCATAATTATTACACACCTGCAAAAATATTTAATTGTATGTAAAATCAATTAACAGACATTAATTAATTATCTTGACATTTTAAAAATGTAAAATTTTTATCCTACTGTTTTCTTCATGGTTTCTATCATGCAAGATTCTATAAGAATTAATATTATAATGATAAATGATGCCTCCACATTGTTTTAAAGCATGAATATCAAATTTTGATACAATAGTTAGAATCTAGGGAAAATTATGGTTCTCAAACAAAAATATTTAAATACTAAGAAACTAGCCGAAGTCCGCACAGAACTAAAAAAGGAAATATTAATTAATACTTTCAGTAAATGTTTTGTATAAATCTGTATGAAATTTGGTTTACCAAATACATGCAGCTGTTCTGGATATATCTTCTAACATACAACCATTCATCGACATTTGCATTTATAACATTAGTAAGATATACATAGAAAGAAGACAAAAGGTTGATGACTCAAGTAACAATAGATAATACATATTAGACTTTACCAACCTTTAAATTAAAACCAATTCCTTGTGAAGTAAAATTTCCAGGTGAAGAATTTCACTGTTCAATAATATATTATCTAACTGGTCATGTACATAATGTTTATAAAAGATCTTAGGGAAATCATTTTTATCAAAATTATATTAATATGAAAATGGCAGATATAAAATACGATAAAAACATTATCTAAATATCATTCGTATGTATCTTGTTCATCAAGACCCACTTTTAACAACTAAAGAGATTAAATAAAAAAATAAACAAGTAACATATTCAGCTGGATTCAATTAAAAGGATACATTCAACATATCAAAATCTATGTGATCTTCTTGTCTTAACTCACCTTTAGCTGTACAACTTTACCATATTTTTCAAACTCTGGCAGCACATCATTAAAGAACTCTACAAAGTGTTTGTATGTGTCTTTATCATCATATTCGAGCATAAGGTCAGTGTCATATTCATTGAAATTGGAATTTTCTAACCCAAAGTGTGAATAAAAGTTTGTAGCTAGCAGTACCTGAAATATTTTAAAATAGATATTTATATTAATAAAATTTGATAGACATATTATGTAAATAGTTTTGCAATATAACCATAATTTTAAAAAAATATAATTTGATCAAAGTCAAACTTACTTTACTTATGCCCGGATATTGGTGATTTCGTGAACACTCATCACCAAAACGGCAACAAGCTGTTTTTAAGAAGAAGGGACATAGGTTTGTATTTGGCCGAGATTCTCTGGAGATAAGTAACTCTTCTGGAGGGTCTTCTGAATCACCTTTTAGAAATTGTTCTAATTTTTCCATAAACATTATCTGTTTTCTTTTATTTTCTTCTTCTATTTCCTTTAATCTCTCTGCTTCTTCCTCTCTTCGTTTTTTCTCCATTTCCCATTCCTAATACAAATGAATATTAATTAAACGAAACATATAGTTTAACAAAAAGAAAAATATCTATACCAGATAGAAACATACTAGTTTATGTTTAGCAATTTCTTGTAGATGTTCAATTCTTAACTGCTCATTCTTTTCTTGAAGTCTTCGCCATTTTTCTATTGTAACTTTCTCAGCCCTTTCCCATTTATCATTTTCCTCCTTATTACTAATTTCAATATGCTCAATTTCTAGCATATACATGGCTTCTTGATTTTCAAGCCAACATTTATACTCTTCGGGAGTAAGTATCTCTTGGGGGTCTAGGAGATTTTTAACATTTTAGTTTAAATAACATATTTCTTATATTATTATTACGAATTATCTTTACAACGTACCTAGTTTTCTTGCATTCCCTTTTCGAATTCTGCGTCGTCGCTCTCTCTTAACTACTTTACGCCATTCTTTGTGTCTGTTTGAAAAAAATATAATTAAAAACGGATACTTTTTAGTAAAGATCTACATACCTACTATATGATACTTTCCTCCCCATTTTGAATTGTTTACATTATCATATAAAGTATGAAAAGTCAATAAATTCTCTGTAACAGTTATCAATCAATTTCTAACGTGATAACTTTACAATAGTTTTTATTTACATATAATTAATGTTGTTTAAACGTTTTAATTTCGTATACTTTGGATTTGAATTGTTATTTGTTTGTTGCGAATTTATGGATGACATTGACAGATGACATTAGGCGCAAATGACAGTGTGAAAGTTTAATTTTTATGTAAATCTGAAAGAGTGGTCACAGGTCACAAGCTCACAGGGTCACGACAACTAAGTGTGAATAGGCTTCGTTTTAGCATTAAATATAATATAGAACATTGAATATTTTAGTACGTTTTGAATATGGTTATTAGGTATTGAATAAAATTGTGAAGTATCAACATATTTTTATATAGTATAATAGAGCGAAGAACACACTTTTTACGTAAACAATTCGCATAAAAAAAGAACTTACGTGATTTTATATATCTTAACAGCAAGTCCATTTATGATTATTTGCAAGTGCCTCAGTAAGTTAGACACTAATCAAAATCAATTTTAAACCACCCTACAAAAAGTCGGGACAACAAATAAAAAAGGTACTTGTAAAACATTTTTTTAAAATGACAGCCTACTAAGTTCAAGTATTGTTTTGTATTAAAAAATGGATAGCAGTCGTTATAGGATAAAAAAGTGTATTTTGCAAAATAACGAAGGAGAATTAGTGAAATTATTAAAGAGTGGTTTCAATCCCAATCATGAAGGAGGCTGGCCAATAAGATTAGCAGCTCGCCATGGGCTATATCCAATTGTTAAACTTCTTATGCAATATGGGGCAAATCCGCACCTTATAAGCGAGGCTGGTGAGTTCCTAACTCAGTAGTAGGTGTGACGAATCGTGTTTTGCTTTGGTCATTTAAGCATAAACGGCATTTAAGTACGTAAACTGGGTATCAATTATGAAATTAATCACTTACAGGGGCTTCAACATTGCAACTGGCTGTTTATTCAGGCGAATTTTGGAATACCGAAAAGTGGTCTTTCCTCCTATCTTGCTGCGATTCATCGCAATTAGCTGACGGCGCTGCTGTAGCGATGGTATTCTACAACATACCAGCGTTAAAAAAAATTATGGAAACCGGACGATGTAATACTCATATACCTACTTCCTTAACTGGTTAGTAAATCGACTTCGAAGATGTCGAAAACTATGGAAAATCTTAACGCTATTTCATTCTTTTTGTGCTACATTTAAGGTAAAACAGTTGATGAATTAGCAAGAGGTTACAGATTGCAAAGCCTTCTGTATTCGCCAATGATTCAAGACAATATAAACAACGTTTCACCAATTTCTTCGCCTAGGAATATACGGCAAACCGAATCGGTATGGTTTCCTTTTTGTTTATGAAGTTAGTGTACGTGACCTTTTTAATGGTTTAAAAGAAATTGTACTAGGTGAAAGCGTGTGCAAACCAGTAAAAAATGACGTAAGATCTATCTTCCATTATGATACTACGTATTTAACAAGATTGAAGGTGTTATAAAGTAGTGTACCTCGATGTCACATTAGATTAACTGAGCAATTTTAATACCTCGGATATTTAAGTTTTTTATTTAAAAATATATTTCAGGATTACAGAATGTTATCACCTCAACCGCCAAGAAGAAATTTATCACCCTCTGTGGCCAGGTTCTTCAATCAAACTGCGAATCAGACGTCCCTTACCCCTCCGCGAAATACATTAACGCCAAATTACCTACCTTTTCCCAATTTTTAATTCGACTGATATTATTATAAATAATTTTATTTATCTTAGATGTAGGAAATGAAAAATAACGACCTCGACTGAAGGTAAAATGTTAGATATAGAAAACATATGACGATAGCTTCAAGCAATTATTTATGATAACTACAAAAAAAAGTTAAATTTTTTTTACGCACTTAAAAATCGTGGGTTTGAGCTCATTTTCACATTTTATAATAAAAAAATGAACAGATAGCTTAAGTTAATTGGATAATTGTATAATTCATCATTAAATACACATTTACATTTAATAAATTAAGACTTTTGCTCTTATCTTTGTCTACTCTATCTTTATACTATTTTTGTATACCATTATCAAGTTAACCACGGCATCTGCATGTTTTAACATATTTTAACATCCGTTTAAACTAACCTAACAAATATTGAATTCGTTTCCACGATTTTTAAAAAAGTTCCGAAATGTGGAAAGGTCATTTTATTTATTTATTTTTTAATTAAACAAATTATACAATGCATGTGTTAAAGAACAACGAAACAAGGGCTTCTTGCTAGTTATAATTATGAAGCTAAAAAAATAGTACATGGGTAATAAATGTTAACAATTTTAATTAATACATTTTAATTAATCACACCAATGAATAATAATAAATAATTAAATGCCATTTAAATCATTAATTAAGTTCTATGAAAGTGACATTTCAAATAAATGGTAAATAAAATTATGTGGTTTTATTTTATTCTTGAAGATAATATGAAGCCATGTATAAGAAATTAACGTTTTTGTTGAGTCGATCGCTGAGTTGGAGTACAAAGACTTACGGCTTGCGTGTAAGTGTCGTTCGAAACCTGAAATTAATAAAATAATGTATAATCTAGTTTTCGATCTAAAAATATTGGCAATCGCACAAGACTCTTGTAGATTTAAGCTTTTTTATATTTTCTATGTCAAGTACTATTAAATTCTTATTACTTTTAACATGAAATATTAATGAAACACTACAGTATATAGTACTTACGTCATTAGCACTGATGTTTCTATTTTCACTATCGGATTTTATTAGTAACGGAATGCCAAGGAAATATGGCATCTTAGTTTTGAGAGTTGCTATAAATCTCGAAAGTACAGGCTCCTATATAAATAAAGTAAAAACTTAATTTATTATATAAATAAAGTAAAAACTTAATTTATAATTATAACCGAAAAGTTTTATTGAATTTAGCATGTACTAGCTTTCTCAGGTAATTACGTCCGCGCGGATTTAAAAAACAAAATTGGAAGTGTTCTTCCAGACTATTATCTGTATCTGTCCGAAATTTCCTAAATATCCGTTCAGCAGTTTAGGCAACAAACTCCAACAAACATCCAAACTTTCGCATTTATAATATTAGTAAGATTTATGTTAGTACCTATCAATGACAATATTTTGAGAAAAATTATATTGTGGTTTTTGCCTTACCTCAGCAGATTTAGGCATCGGTGTTATGATTGGAAAGTTTTGTGTCAAACACAACTTAGGATAGGTGAATGGCTCCCCGCACCAAAACCTCACCCTGTAGTACGAACACTCTGCCTCCGGTATGCGGTACCCGTGCTTAAATTATTTTACGTAAGTTTGCAAAGTAATAAATCAAGAGAAACGATCAGTGTAAATTACTCACTATGTTTTTCCAATGTCTTCGCAAATCTTGATAGCACTTGAAACTTCCAGATTGTGGTAATGTTTCGCAGTATTCCTCTACAATGGCTTTGTTTAAGCTACAAAAAGTTATCAGTAAAGTCTAGCTATCTATTTCAAAGTACACTATTTAAACGTAACGGAAACATAAAAAACCTTGGAAATACTCGAACGCAGTCGCCGGGCTGATAGTTTTCATCAGAATGGATCAGAATAATTTTAATTGGCTTTAGTTCGAGTACTGTGGAAGAGTCTGCAAATCCATAGATAATTTGTATATTTACTTTCACGATGTTTCATACTTAATTTATAGAATAGAATTATTAAATTAAAAAGATCAATCTGATGCGTTCACTTTCCGACTGCTAAAAAATCATACAATAAAAAAATGGAGAAGTTAAATGTCGTAGGTAAAACTTACCGTTTAATGAAACTTGGTATTTCATACCATCCTGAGGCCCCGAAGTCGATAAAAAATTTCTATTATTAATAAGATAATTATATCCTATCGTATTGCATGTTGGCGCAATTCTCGCCGTCATCGTGTATCGAAAACACATAAGAAACATTTCTGGCGTCACTTGCCTTATAGCTCCATCCTAAAAATAAATTAGTTTAATAAAAATACTATATAATTAGTACGAGATAGGTGTACGTGATTTACTTAACATAGGCGCCAATCTATTTTTATAGACTTACTTGGATAAGAGAAAATTTCATAAATAACGATGTTAAACGGTCATAATCATCGTTTACGGTGCTAATAATAGTATGAACTTGTTTTATTTCCTTCTTGTTAGGGCAGGCTAAGATCGACGAATTCGAAAATATTAACATCCTGAAAATAACTTTTGTGTGAATAATTTTGTACTTATTTTTATATATTAGACAATAAACAGATTCAGTTTTTACCTGCATTTTAAGATTTTCCAGTGATAATTTGAGGGTGCTGATCGGTCATGTTTGTCATTTAAATCAGCTGTAGCTACAACATGACCTATTTTATCAAAGCTAGGGTTTTCAATGTCAAAACAATAATAGGATTGCATGTTTGTCGTTAATAATTCAGAAATCACTTAAAAGCACTTTATTTTGTAAAATGTCGTAGTATACGTATTTCCCGCCACTTTTAACTTTTTAATAATTTGTTATTAGGGCAAAGGCCGTATATAGTCTACATACTTTTGAGGAAGTTAGCAAACATAAAAACTTTTTAGGGAATTGTGACAAAAGAATGTGTTTGTTCAGTGTATCATTGTTTTAAGAGCTACCTGACTGTAAATTATTCAAGGGGAAAAGGTCACTAGAATTAAGTCAAATGAATAATACCTAGGCATGTCCATTAAAAAATCAATATCTCACATGTACTCCAGAATTGAAAATTTTAGGTAAACGTGACGATGAATACTTTTCGTGAATGATCGACGGTTGCCATATAAAAATAATAATAATAATAAAAAAAAAACAAAATAAACGTAGTTGTCACATTTTATTGTATTAATACAAAATATATTGAATAAGTACTAATGGTAAACTGGAAAGGCCACGATGTCACTATATAAACAATATTAAAAATAACGATACAATTTAAAAAATACGAAGTTTAATTCAGTCATGACTTTCAAATTGGTCGCGTGCTTTGCGCAGGACGCCTTGCGTCTTGTGTATCTCGCGGCAGATGGCGCGCTGCACGCTGCGCTTGCGCAGGTTGGCCGCGTTCAGCTGCGCCAGCGTCTCCGCCAGCGTCGCCTTCGTCCGCGCCAGTTTCTGCTTCAGCATCACATTCTCTTCATATAATGATCCTGAAATTAAATGAAATATGCTTATTAAATGATGACATTCTATAAATATATATCATTTTAAAAATACACACATCCGAGATTAATACTACATTTTTTTTTAGTAAGCCGATAGAATAATAGTTTTGACCAGAATTTATGATAGTTATTGAATATTTTTTTACAATAAATACTCACTTGGTGACAACGAAATGGCGTCGTTTTGTTCCAAGCTAGAGAGCCTGTCGCTGTCGATGCCCTGATCCGGTGAAGTCGGCCGATCCTCCTCGGAGTGCGCGGCCTCCTGCATTTCAGCTATTTTATGGTCGGCATCTAACGCTACTTTGCGAGTTAATTGTATTTCTAATTGTGCGTTTGCATCCAACGCGGCTGTGAGCTTATCTCTAGCTTCCTCTAATTCTCTCTCAACTTGCAGTTTGTCATGTTGGGCTCTGGCCCTCTCCAGCGCGGCTTGCGAGGCTTGCACTGTGGCCTCGTCCGCCGCTCGCCTCAACGATCTCTCGGTCTCCATAAACGTTGTTTCTAAATCTTGTTTGTCTTTGCGTAATTTATCTGTTAATTGAATATTATATACCAGTTGTTGCTCGCAGTCTTTCAGTCTGAATTCCATTGTTAAGTAAGTATTTCTCAGTGCATCCAAATTGTTATTAGCTTCAACGACGTTATTACGTTCAGTAGTTAATGCCTTCATTAAATCATCTTTCTCGTTTATAACCTCATTGATTCTCTTCATCGCTTGTTCCAATTTGCTATCGAGGTCTTTCTTTTCTCCTTCCAATTGTTCATTGATATTAGTAAGTTCGCGTATTTCTTCTAGGAATGCCGATTCATTAATCATTTTATTATCTTCGGAACGGGAACCATAAGAGATGCGAGAACGGCGTGGTCTGGCTTTGTTATTGTCCGATACTATTTCTTTGCCGGCGAGTCCAGTGTCGCAAAGACCGACTCTGGCCATTGATACTTTTCTATCAGGTTCTGACCAACATTCTGATTCTGATATAACGTCCGCTTGAGGGAAATGCTTATTCAGTTTTTTGATCGAGTACCTCTTACTGTCATCGCTGCACATGACATGGTGTCCAAACATCATAGTTAGATCCTCTATTCTTAACGATTGTGATATATCAAGATTACTTTCATCCATTGTGAAATCTTCAGGTGCCATAGTCTCATCTAATTTCAGTCCAACTGGTAAAGCTAAGCTTTGTTCTAAAATACTTTCTGCTAACTTCTTCTTATCTTCTCCGAGGACACATCTGAAAAATACCATTGTTAATATTGTTGCCAACATTTGAAATAAAAATTGTTGTATGTGAAATTTATAATTACTTATGTGATAACAGCTTGTCAAGGAAGTATGCCATGCCTTGTAAACGTCGTGTCAGTAGTTGTTGCAGGTTGCTGAAAAAGATTTTTCATACATTATCAGAGGATACATTAGTGGTAAAATGTTTTTTAAATACTACTTTTAACGTAAATTTGCATTAACCAATATGTAATCGTATTTATTAATATGATTAGCATAGAAAAAAAAATTGTCTTATCACACTCTGGCCTAAGAATTAAAAAAAATAATAATATACCCGGAGGAATCTTCATTTTGTTGCATTTCAGCATTTTTCTGTAAATTTCTCAGTCTATTTTCCAAATCTTTAATGTGCTCATCTTTGCATTTCAAAATTTCGTTGTACTTTTCGATTTGTGAGTCACTGACATGGGCATATGTTAGTTCTTTATCCTGAAACAAAAGTTATAATACTTTTTTCAAATTAAGCTATGTTTACCAAAATTAACTAAAATCATACCAGTATAAATATTTTATAGCTGTAAGCTGTTTGTAGAGATTGGGTGTTGTTACAATTGGTGATAAGCTTACAAATTGAATTTGTTTTAATATAGAGTATTGTTGATAATAACTAGGCACATAATATTACCAGTTTTAACTTTTTAATTTCTTTGTCTTGTTGTTGAATCTTCTTCATACATCCCTTGATCATTTGTAGAGCCTTGTGGTTTTCCTTACGTAACTTTGTTAATTGATCCTAGAAGCAAGAAATAAAAAATTGATGCTTTGTTCATGAAATATGTATAAATAAAAAGTAAAAACTGCAACAAACCAATAAAACACCCATTAAAAGTGTATGACGAAATCATTTTGTCGTCCTAATAGTCGGACAGAGAAATTCTTTGTTTTGTACATGAGTAATTATAAGAGACTATGAAACTCACCAAATCTTCATTATTTACTGTCACCGCAAGATAGTCCCTAGAAAATAAAAAAAAGAATATTAATAAAAGAATGAAATCGGTCTTTTAATTGTTTATTATATTTCAGATGTTACCCAGCTGATTCGGATTCCGGATACGTGTCATCGACAGGTTCTGTTTGATTTTCAGTAGTCTGTAAATGAGAAAAATAAATTTTGAAGTTGAACTTAAACATTTTTGATATTCAATGTCATTTTTATAATCTTTTCGTCACTGTTTTCTCTTTTATTAATATTAAGTTGATTTATCAATATTGAAGTAAGAAATTAATTCTTACCTTAACTTCCTCGTTTATCGCGTGTCTCATAGCACAACTGTTGTTCATTGAGGTCTCTACACCTTCGGTGGAAATAGACCCCTGAAAAGACATACATACATTAATGTCCGTATCCCGAAATACTAGAAATCAAACAAAAATTCAAACATAAAAATTATTTCGTTATGATATAATACTTTCATATACCTGATGTTCCAAGACATCTATAGCCTCAGCAGCCGCGGCCAGTAGTTCTTGCTTATCGCTCAGTTGTCTTCTTAGTTCTTCAACTTCTACTTGAAGTCTCACGTTGTGTTCTAATAAACCCTGCAATGCGACATTTATTACTATTATTATATAATTTCACGGGAATCGTAACTATTTTCGGGATAAAAAGTAGCCTATTTTTCTTCCAGACTATGCTTTACATCTATGCCGAATTTCGTGGAGATCCGTTCAGTCGTTAAGGCTACAAGTTCTTTTAAACATCCATCCATCCATCTAAACTTTCGCATTTATAATATTGGTATGATTACAAGTCATCGTTTTAAAATTAAACAATTAAATAAATAAAAGTTGTCAAGTCTGACTGAGTGATGCCTACGAGAGTCCAGAGAAGAATACGAATTCAGAGACAGCTTGCACTTCTAAATCTGACACTTGTTTAGATTATAGGGGATACAATGAAAGTCTTAAGGATATAATATTACGTAAAACGACTGTAACCTTTATTAGGTTTCGCAGTTTAGATTTGAAGAGGTCACAAGAGAACAGATGCGGGGAATATATCAATATCTAATGACTCAATCGTCAGTCGGATAAAAAGTTGTAAATTCTTTATAATAGTGTCACTTTTCATTTATAAAACAAGCATTGTTTGCGCAAGGACAGCACCGAAACAATAGTCGTTACATGATGCATCTTCTGTGGAATTTAAAAACATAGTATTTTGTACACTAGACGCAAATAACAATTGAAACCTATGGCTTAAAAACATACGCTAATGTAATTTTTGTATAACATCTGTTTACCCGTACGTTTTTACATTTATTTATTTACAAAGATAGTTAGTTCTTTTTAACTTACTTGAACAGCGGGGGGTGCGCCATGACCTAATTTTTCTTCAAGAAAATATATCCTTAGCTTCAAATTGAAGTTCTCTTTGCGTAAAGAATTCAACTGTTCTTCATATTGCTTCATGCTAACTCCACTGGCCACTGTCACATCTGTGAACAACGGAATCATAATTAAATCCATAGAGTAATCATATATTGGTAAGCATATGTTAGTTAGTTTCCTTAATGTTTTTTTTTTGCAATTAATGTGTGGTCGTCAATTAACAATTTGTGCTAAGTTTTTGAGAATACTTATATTATAATACACTCTGTGTGTGTGTGTGTGTGTGTGTTTATGTGTGTTTTAAAACATTCCAGGATTTAATGTTAAAATGGCGCTTAACCTTATTGCTGGGTTAAATAGATAGTTATTAAACTCACTGTGACCCTCAGGCGAAGGGAGCGTCATCTCTTTGAGTGCCCGCGGGCTTGTGCTGAAATGAGAAATTGAAATGTATAAACAAATTCGTACAGATTTTCGGTGTTGTTACTGAAAATGATGCTCTAAATACACATATTTAAAAAAATCACGCACACATTTCATGAACGGCTAGACAAATTTGATCGGGGCTTTCGCGGGAAGATCGCTGATGTATGTTTATCACAAACAATTCGCCCAAAACTGATTGGGACAAAGGATTTATGATATTCCGCCATTCATAGCTTCAAATAATACATGTGTCACGTTCACGTGCTTAAAGCTTATAAAAGTTCAGCTAGTGCTCCCTTCCTATAACTCATTTAATAGACCGGATAAAATCAATGTTTACGTTTTTTTAAAGAAACATATACAAAGTTTCGTTATATTATAATCTAACAATGTTCATAATCTATCAGTGACAATATGGCCAAATTTTGTACCTAACATATCTATGTATTATTTACATTATTCTTATAGAAAAAATGTTTCCACAGAGTTCCGTAGACAGAATTATCGCTAACTATAACCGATAAGGATTTGACACGCCACCGAGTTATTACTTGGGTATTGCTATTTATTGAAGTTATTTAATCACCGTAAAAATATGCGAAGCTGGCTCGGTTATTTGCATTATAATTGTGCAACTGTTTATCAAAGTTTTGCGCAAATAACAAATAAAGTGTAGCTTCGGGCTACTACAACTATAGTTCGTCAATTTGTAGGTACTATAAATGCTAAACATGAAAGAAATCTTCATAGATGCTTTACATTCGTTCATCTTTGTTATTGTTTTGTTTGGTTAATGGTTTATTAGTTTCTGTTATAACAGATATAGGTACAAGATAATATTGCTATCTCTGTTTTATCAAAAGATATAAGAGGGATGTCACTATGTTTTTTTAAATTAGCAGTGGAAACGGTACAATACCACCTGCAGCAACGCGTTATCTAATAATACGAGTTTGAACTTGGACAAGTTCATTATTCTCAATAAACGATTGCAACTATATCAGTGTAATTGTTTGAGAATCAAATGTCAGTGAATAATATGCATAACATTCATATTGAATGATGTTTTCTGATTTGAGTAGAAGTGTCCATTAAAGGTTTTTGCAAATATTAATTTATCCAGTTGTTGTTCTGCTATTTTTCAGACTATTTTATCTATAAGTGACATGTTGTCATTGAAATATTCAATTATGTTTTGAAACCTTACAGTCGTAGCCTTGAATATACTTTAAAGAAAAGCAGGTAGAATGTACATCTTTTGAATATATTCAGTTTAAATAAATCTGGTAATTGTCATTCTGTATACCTAAAAATACTAGGTAACTAGTGTTTGGGTGTATACAATGCTTATTCGAAGTAAACAATAGACACAAAAAGAAATATTGGCGTTTTACCTATTAAGAAATTCATTGTAGTTATTGAGGACAACTTATTTTAAGCCCTATGTGAAGGACACGCACGATTTAAAAGAACGTCTTTTAACAAACATACCTAAATGCTGAAGATATACTATTCCCATGTTTTGAATGATTCATTCTTGGTAACGTCGCCATCTCAATGTAGGCTAGTTCTTATTTACTATATTACAAAAATCACCACATAAAAAAATCACGCTAACACTGCACTGTGCTATATTAAAATAACACGACTGAGTTCGCCTTAAACTCGGCCACATCTATTTATACAAGAAAATAAATATGTTTGTGTCACATCATTTGCGCTTTTCACGTAATCACTGCTCAATTAAACATATTTGTATCTCTCATTAGGTAATTATATGTAATAAAAACACAAATAGTAAACAAATACACGGACCAAATTGACGCAGCTGATTTTACTACCGTTTTCTCAGCGTAAGAATGGGATACTGATACTGTACTGAATACTGAGAATACTGATACTGAATATAGGACGGAACTGTCGGGTGCGAATCGGGAGCGTTCGCCTGCGTCCGCACGTACCCCGTGAGAACACATATGACATACTAAGTGAGAGAAAAAGAGATAAATGTACTTCTGTCTATGAGTTCGAGAGGCGGAGGGCGGATGCTGCTCGTTGCATCTCACACCGAAATAGAAGTGGCTGCGCAGTACTATGCTCCAAATTTTAGAAACGTGCCACTTCCTAATGTTTTTAAATAAAGTATTTAAATTAAATATAATTAAACCTCCTTTAAATTATGTAAATTATTTAAGATTCTTCATACCTTTTATTTCTATATAGTTAACATATTACGACTAATAACCAAAGTGGGACAGACTGATACAACAATAATAATATGTAAAGACCTTATATATGAAATATATCTATTATATTAATCAAGACGATGTTTTTAATAATAGAATAGGAAATTACTCCCGTAGTATTGGTATAACTTCATTGTACGATCGAGTGTATAAGATTATGGAACGCCACGAACAAAAAGGGCCCGTCCGTCGTCCCGTTTGTCGACATGTGTTATCATCAGAACCAACTGCAATTGCTCACGCTCTTTTTCAATTTACAGTTTTGTTTATGTGCACGTCGGATGCAACCCAACTGTTCTTTGCCGACTTCATCGAGTTTTTGTAATTAACAAAAAAACAAAAGCAAACAAAGGGGTGATTTTGACTAATCACTTATTTTACGGATTTTTGCTCTAGTTTTAGGATTTTAAAATACTTCCTATATTTGAAACGATGTTCATGACGATTTGGTAGACGTTGTCAAGCGTTGCTAAGAGAGGGCGCCAGATTTTAAGACACGTTTTTGCGCCTGTGGGATTTTAAGAATATCTGAAGATTTCTTTGTCTTAAAAAAATTTAAATAAACGTAAGATGGTTTTTATCATAGCAACATGTGAATTAAAGTTTTCATGTGGAAAAACTATGTACTAAAAATTTATGTAATTTAAAACAGATATTATCCACTTAGTTTCTTATAAAAAAATAAACTATCTGCTTAAAAATATGTCTAAATGCATTTTTACCATAACTGTGTGTTTCCTTTGTATAAAATTTATTTTCATTTTAATTTACATTGAGAAAACAAAGACCAAATATATGTTTAAAAAAAATGCACTATAATTTTAAACTCCATACACAATAAAAAATAGATTAACTTAATGTTAAAGAACTTGGTCCATAATTGCCAAAAAAGGCATTTTTATACCTTGAAAGGATTTAGTTAGTCTAGATTTTTTTAATACTAAGTGTGATCTATAGGTTGGTACCTAAATGTTGGTCAAGTCATGTTTTTTCAGTCAGATATGTTTCTTTTCAATTTAAACACTTAATTTTCAGATAACATTAAGGGATTAAATCGTAATCTGGTTATATGCAAAATGTTCAAGTGAAATTGAAATAAATTTTATGAAATAAAATTAAATAGAATAGAAATATGGAAGTTACCATAGTTGAAAGCATTCTAATAATTTACTTATCAAAGATAAATACAATTGATGTAGTTACAATTACATTTATTTTTAAAAACAACATAACTCACGCCCATAATATGGAACATGGAGGGTGAAGAAATCACGCAGAATTTGCTGATTATATTAATTAATAATATGTGATAACATTGCACAGGACATGGATATGGTGTTTTTTAATTACATTAATTCACATCAATTCAGTCTTAAGTAATAGACACTAGATATCAAAAAATAAATATAATGAAGATAATCAGCAAACTCTGCGTCATTCCTTGACCCTCCATGTTATGGGCCTGAGTTATGTTGTTGTTAAAGAATATTAAGATTTGTGCAGCTGTTGATTTTTATTCTAGAAATACAAAACTGAATGTAAAAAGAAGCGAGTAAAACAACTAAGTTCATTACACACGATCAATTTAAATGGTAGAATTGTGATCAGTCTGACTAATCTAATAAAATTGCAACAATACTTACATGACAGGTTCAGAGAGGGTTTCGGACATTCTTTCAGATTATATTCTGATGCTGTATAGATTGTATTTAAAACTTAACATCAACAATACTGTCTACTTATATTATTTTAGCACTTTTAAACTTCGCTAAATAGAATGACAATTTAATTAACGGTTGACGGTTAGCGGTTGCATTCGAATCAAAAACACCTGTCAAATGTCAAATAATCTCAAAGCAAAGTGGCAAAGAGTTGCTTCGCCCCTGCCAGACACACCTAAGGTTTTTCCGACTTGCAAACACCTTTTCATAAGTCCCCAAACCCCAAATAACATGTACAATTCTTACTAGGCCACACATGTCATTTTCTATTTCCATGGAACTGAACTAACCGATAGACAGCTTCTCGCACCGGGTCATACATACTCATTCGGCAATAACAATCAAATTCAAAAAGACCAAAAAAGATCCACGTTCCCCTCGAAATGTTACTGATCCTGATAAAACTTTAGCAAGTAGATAATATAATGATCAAGTTATAATGAAATCTGTTTCTCATTTTACCGCGGAGCTCGCCATTCATACTTAATCTATGCACTTTACACTTCCTTCGTTGTCAATGTCTTAGCTCAACGTCATTGTCAAAACAACTTTGTGATTGATGTTGATTTGCATTGAGTTGGTCTTTTTTATAATTGTAGGTTATTTTAGTGAGAATAAATAGTGTCTTTTTGTCTATAATGTCTCTTCAATCAAATATTCGATCTTTATTTCAAAGAATTATTATTTCTGATATGAAAATAGTAAGTCGATTTTATTGCACACCTAACGATGAAAATATCGACGAAGAACAAAAAAAACCCATTGATCCTTCTAAGGATAGAACAAAAGTAATTCCTGTGGAAACAAGCATACGTTATCTTCAGAGCAAAGCCTATGAAGAAACTTATGGAGGTAAACCAGTATGGACATTATATCGCCGTAATCATAAAGGTGGTTTTGCACCTCGTAAAACTAGAAAATCTTGTGTTCGAGGCGGTATTATTTCTACTGGAAATCCATGTCCTATTTGCCGGGATGAATACTTGGTATTAGATCACAGAAATACAAAATTGTTGCAACAATTTATTTCACAATACACTGGTCAGGTAAGCGGAAATAAACATACATTTTAATAAGCACTTATGTTTTATTTAATAATAATGTTTAATATAGTTTGAGGGTATCTCTATAAAGATTTAGTAATGTGAAAAATATATTAAATTTTGTATAGGCAAAAAATGTATATTTGGAAGGTGTTCATATAGCTTACAGCATTTTGCTTAATGCTGTTTGTTAAACCAGTATAAAGTTTTCACGTGAACTTGACATGTAGATGTGAATAATTTATAATATTAATTGTAACTTACATTAGCCCTATAATTCTTCCAGATTCTAGATGCCTTTCAAACAGGAATATGTCAGAGGAAACAAAAAGAACTATTGGTGGCTATTGAAAAAGCATGGGATCAAGGTAATTTGACCTATGATGTTCCTTTCAGAGAATATGATTATAGTTTGTATAATAAAACAGCTCATTAAGTATTTAATATATTTAAAACATTGTTAGTTATTTAGTTGAATAAACAGTTCATAACATAAATTTTTTTATTGTCATAACCACACCCCCAAATTTACTTGCAATGGCACTAATCAATACATTTTATATTTGGATTTTTAACTTATTATGACACAATTGGGTATGTTATTATAATAAAGTGTTAGTGGTGATATAATTATATTATGTTGATTATAAATGATATTAATTATAGTTATCCATAATTTTTGTCCGGTTTCTTTGCACCAATAACTCTCTAATAAGTGCAGATTTTTCTCTTTCCAGTACAGAAATTCGTTCGTTTTTGCGATTCACTTCCTGCAAGATATAACAAGATTCAAAAATAAGAAATTAATTAATTGTTATAGTTATTGTTATATCATTTTCTTGTTAAGCATATCATAATTTTTAAAGAAGTTAAAATATGCTGAGAATCAAACAACCTACTCTCAGTAGGAAATTGCACTAGAAAAAAAGATACAAACCTCAGCTAGCATGCGGTTCTGAGATCTGAGGACCGCGGCATTATTTGGTGTACTGGGAGGCGAGTTTTGGAGGCTTGTAGGCAGCGCAAGGTTCATGTGCAAGGACAGCGGGCCATGGCGCCAACCCGCGGCTAGTGCGCCCAATTGCCTATTTAGCTCTAACACTCGCGCCTTCAGTAGTTCCAGTCGTTCCTGATGCGCTTCATTCCAAGGCTCCTGTAAAAAATAATGCTACGTAAATAGGACCTTGTTGGACCATATCGTAATATTGTAATGA